ATCTGGACCACTATGTCTGTGTAGGTTCTCAGTCATCCAGGTCATCGTAGTCAAAGGAGCTTGCAAAGAAAAGCGTCTGGACTTCTTTAAGTTGCTTGAAGACGTTTCACCTCTCATCCAAGAAGCTTCTTCAGTTCTAAGGTCAAATGGTGGAGAGTCCCAGATTTAAACCTAGTGGGAGTTTCCCCCCACAGAGGGACAAAAGGACCCCCTGATGATCCTCTAATCGCCTGAGACAAGGTGGGAAACTGGGCGTGGGTCCCAATCAGCCAGAGTTTCGGGTGTGTTCATTGTGAAACCTGGCCCCACCTTATCATGTGATGTCCTGAGGTCAGATGGCCCAGGATGTGAGTGGGCGCTAAGGCGTCTGGGAAGGATCTCAAAACTGGATTATAGATGGCAGAGAGTTGGTGTCGTAAGCCCCGCCTCTGTTCAAAGATGGTCGCTCACAGTGGACATAGATGCTTCTTTCACTCCTCTTTCAAACCATCTGTCCTCTCTGTCCAAAATGTGAACATTGGCATCCTCGAAAGAGTGACCTTTATCCTTAAGATGCAGATGGACTGCTGAGTCTTGTCCTGTGGAGGTGGCTCTTCTGTGTTGTGCCATGCGCTTGTGAAGTGGCTGTTTGGTCTCTCCAATGTAGAGGTCTGGGCATTCCTCGCTGCACTGTACAGCAAACACCACATTGTTAAGTTTGTGTTTTGGCGTTTTGTCTTTCGGGTGAACCAGTTTTTGTCTGAGCGTGTTGCTGGGTCTGAAATACACCGGGATGTCATGCTTGGAGAAAACTCTCCTGAGTTTCTCTGATACACCGGCTACATAGGTGTACCATCTTTGAACAGAGGCGGGGTTTACGACACCAACTCTCTGCCATCTATAATCCAGTTTTGAGATCCCTCCCCAGGCGCCTTAACGCCCACTCACATCCTGGGCCATCTGACCTCAGGAATTCGCATGATAAGGTGGGGCCAGGTTTCACAATGAAATCAGCCGAAACTCTGGCTGATTGGGACCCACGCCCAGTTTCCCACCTTGGCTCATGTGATTAGAGGATCATCAGGGGTCTTTTGTCCCTCTGTGGGGGTCACTCCACTAGGTTTATATCTGGGACTCTCCACCATTTGACCTTAGAACTGAAGAAGCTTCTCGGATGAGAGGTGAAACGTCTTCAAGCAACAAGTCCAGACGCTTTTCTTTGCAAGCTCATCTGGACCACTGTTCCACAGCCAGGTCAGAACCTGCATTTCTACTACCACATCCAGTTTTCAGCAGTTGGCTGGATCTTCTTTCCCTGCAGTCTGGAATAAACTTTTCCCAGGAGACTGAGCAGAGCCATGCCCCAGTAATTGAAGCACACCCTCCGGCCCACCTTTTCAAAAATGGGAATCGCAGCCCTGATCTACCATTCTACAGGCACCAGATGAAATCAAATATAAACAGGCATTACAGTGTTAATACTTACATGCTGATCGCCCTTTTTTGCCAACCAAATGCTTCAAGCTCCCCCCTGGCCTGGCTCACTGAGAGTTCTGGTTTCGCCAAGGTTCAGCTGTGTGGCAGGTAAGGCAGGACTCAAACCCAGCACTTGGAAACCTAGGGGTTTTCAATTTGGGGTGAAGTTAAGCAGCTTGAACAGATTCATTCTTTCTCTTCTATTAATCTCTCTAGTGCAGGGGTCGGCAACCTTTCTGATGACGAGTGCATCTAAAATTTCCTCAGAAGTCAATGTGCCATATGAATTTAATAACACTCTATTAACAGTTACACACTACAAAGAACAACTTGGAATTACATTTGTTCGCAGATGTTGGCAGCTATCAGCGAATAGTTCTCAGCTATTTGGAAACAAAAATAGACACTTTAACATGAACATAACAGCAAATGAACCGTACAACAGAAAATGCAAATGCTATTTATGGTCTCCTCACAACAGTGATAAGAAAAATAAACTGGGCCAATATGGCATGTTTGTCAATACAGGGATACACATGTTAATGTGATCTCTGGTCTCCCACTGAGAGACACAGGTCTCCGAGTGTCCAGCATTCAGACGAGACTTACAAATGTGTGCAATATGATCCAGAAATGTAAAGTTGTCTCTACAAATGTGCACGAGTGTGTTACATTTGAAGCTTTGACCGCACCCGCTTCCATTTATAAACACGTGAAAGAGTCGCCTGAGACCGAATGATCACGTGACATGCCCACCTGGCTTTACGTTTCCGTGACTTTAATAATGAATGTTTCCTACCTGGAGCTTATCTTGAATATCATGTTTTTCCTCTTTTTATTAACATTGTGCTTCTTTTTAGTACAAGTACCATCCATCCATAAACAAGTAAGATACTCATGTCTTACAATTGTTAGTTTTAACCATTTTAAAAATGAACAAAAAAAACCCCACAATGCAGTGCAATACTAATGTTTTGTTTTTTAGACCAAATCCCTTATACAGTTACAGACTCTGATGATGAGCAACCTCCAAAATAAAGCTTCCTCAGGAAAGTGCCAGGTAATAATGTAATGTTTAGTGTGTGTATATATATATGTGTGTGTGTGTGTGTGTGAGAACAGGAACCTTTGTAGACGAGTTGTGTGTTAATTTTTTAAACATTTTTCTAAACAGCCTCGGCCGCTCTGTAGTCTGCCCCCAACATGATGCCCCGGGCAGCTATGCGACCTCCCCAGCAAATAGTCTGCGTTCAGTTCCTTCTCTAACGACGGTATGCTTTGAAACAACGAGCTGCATCACAATTTCATTGTAATCTTAACTTCAAAACACTAATTTATGCTGCTGAATGTCATCATATTTTGCTTGTTTAGATTTCTGAGGCAAGTTCTAAAATGTTGTACTTTGACATTTTGCATAGGATTTCATGTATGTTAAAAGGCTAAATTGTAAACAGTTTTAACAGATTGAACTACTCAAACCTAAATGCAAAATGTGAAAAATTATGGATAGTTATATATTTTTTTGTCATCACAATGCTTATCCAGTTTATCACAAGCCAGTATTTGTTGTGTTATTGTTCTTTTCAACAGATGCAGCCTTCCAAAAGCTTATAATCATGGTGACAGAGCTGATCAGAGAAGTCAGGGACCCCGGCGAGGAGTTCAGAGCCCCCGTTAATCCTGCAGCACTGAACCTGTTGATGCTGGGGTATTCCCCTGGATTAGCCTTTGCACAACATGGATGAGATGAACAACTCTGCAATGACTGGAGGCAAATGAAGCAATGGTCAGTTCTTAAAGGTTATGTGACTTTTGTAACCCTGAACTTTAGAAATTGTCAAATTCAGTTAAACTGCTTAAAAATGTCGTCAAGCAACTTAAAGAAGTCCAGACGCTTTTCCTTCCAAGCTCCTTAGACTGCTTAAAAATGGCCTTGTCCTGTATGTTCTGCTTGAATATACAACAGCAGGCTGTCATTGGAAGATCTAACAAGCAGGAATAGAAATGCATTTCACTGCAAATAGTTTTTTGCCTCTAGAAAATTGGGCTTTGAGCTTTTCAGCTAATGGGCTCTTTGGGAATCAAAGTCAGGCAGCAGTTTACTGATTTCTGCCTTGTGACTTTCATCTTAATCAGCCTAGTAGTTTAGATGCTTTCTCCCTGCTGAAGACAACTGACAAGAGGTTATTCATATTTAAGCTCTAATTTGGCCTTTTTTCCTTCTTTCTGTTTGTTTGTGGCCTAGATGGCCCGACTCAGCACGTGGGGGTAAACGCTGTTTCTGAGTTTGCCTTCGCCCAAGCAGAGCAGAAATGTCTCCACTACGCTCCAGATCAGATGGGTGGTGCAGAATGGTCGATATTCAGCCCGAACCCCGAGTAAACTTTAAAAAAAAAAAGTGACTTGTAACCAATACATGTAACACAACTTTTTAAAAAATATAATAAATTACTTTGTTATTGATACAGAGATGTCTTTTTTTTTGTGCATATAATGGGTTTCCTGTTTGTGGATCATACACAATTGTCTTTTTTGCAGGTTTAAGTATTGCTGGTAATTTGCAGCAGTTTAGTATTGATAGAAATGCCTATTAAGTACAGTTTTTTAAGTACTGAGTTTTAATCATGATTTTATTGTTTCAATAGTAACTAAGGGTGCAAAGTGATAGAAAATCAACATCAGAGTTCAGTGATTCAGTATCAGACTCTAACATTGTTTCAACATTAACAGTGTTTGACAGTTTGACGTTAAAACAATGTCAGCGTTCAACATTGATTCAATATCAAATTCTGATGTTTCAACATTAACAGAGGGTGCAAACGTGACGTTACATCAATATCAGATTGATTCAATAGAATTGCCTGATATTGATTTAACATTGTTTCAATGGATATTTTCTATCTGGGATTGTTCCCTCATCCACCTGCTGTCTCGTGGAAGCTCTGCTATAGCCACACAGCAAAATCTCCAGTGTTAGATTAACACTGGAGATTTTGCTGTGCACCACCAAGAAACTGAGTTATTTTTACACATCTGCCAGCATCTGGGCAATCCACCACTTTTCATTGTTTATACCGTTCCCAACGACAAAAAAAAAACTATCGGCCCATAAAAAGGAAAAATCACCATCAGGGTGATTGCCTGATGGCCAGTCGAGCTATGGTTAGCTATGGTTAGAGCCCACTCCTATCATATTTTTCAGTAATTAACACTTCAATAGTAAATATGAACAAGTCATCTTTATGAACCAGCTGTCGTCTTTATTCATTTTCTGCCACTTCCTGTTCTGATCTTTATTCTGCAAACCTGTGTCCAGTTTGCTCATCACCTGTGTGTGTCAAATCACAGTTTTCACGTTGTTCCTGTTTCATGATCATTTTTTATCATGAAGACAAAAGCCAGCCTTTCATCAGCCATGTGGAGATGAGGAGCAGCAAGAAGCAGTGAGGTGTGGTGGAGGTGAGTGACCAGCAGAGGGAGACATAACTCAGAGGACTCAGCTTCCAGAGTGAGGGATGCTGGGAGGAGGAAGAGGAGGAGGTGACACCAGCAGAGGCTGCAGAGATGCTAACAGCTCAGACACACAAACACACTCTGGCAGGAGCTAACTGCTAACACACGCAGAGAGACAGACACTCACACAGGCAGAGAGACAGACAGACACACACACACACACAGGCAGACAGGTAAAGGCAGGCTGAAGCTGGCAGCACACACACTTTGTGTGAACTAGCTGCTGTTAGCATGCTGTGGAGAGAAGGCTAATCTACTGACACACACACACACACACACACGCAAAGCAATGCAGTGTCCAGGGCTTTCAATTGGACGGTGAGTGATTTATCAGTTAGACCCTTAGGTGTGTGTGTGTGTGTGTGTTAATATGTTGATGACAACTGCTATGTGCTGCTGCTGTTGCCATGGAAACAGTCATGTATTTGTTCTGTCAGAGAAGTCACCTGTCAGACATCGAACATGTGATCAGTGCCAGGTGAGTAAGAAGGTGTGTAGCTGTGCAGCCACAGTTGCAGAGTGCTCCTACCTCTGTGTACTGCTTGGTACAGCAGTATGCAGCTGCGCTACCACACTGAAGTCTAGTTCTCCTTTGCCGGTGAAGATCTGGAACCTGCTCGCTAGAAGTTTAACTTCCAGGGAAAAGCTTCTTTATTTTGGAATGACGTCAGACACTTACAGAGGTTTTCATCAGATTTATCAACCATGATTCTGGTTTTGGTTTCCTGCGCTGGATGAGGTTTTTGTGTTTGATTGATTGCTCTACACCAGGGGTGCTCACACTTTTTCTGCATGTGAGCTACTTATAAAATGACCAAGTCAAAATGATCTACCCACTACAAAAATCCAAAACATATACTTATTTATAAATATATTGAGGATTCTTTATATCTACAATGTATATACATGCATAACCGCAATATCCAATATTTCACAACACAATTAACTATGTAAATTTTTTGTCATTACCTGAGTTTACTCTGATGACTTGCACTGAATTGAATCAGCCAGGGATGCATAGTCCGGACAGTAGCTGCTGACGGCCAGGTTTAAGAGAAAAAACCGAGAGCTAAAAATTGGAGTTAACTCGCTGACTAGCTTGTCAGTTTTACTACACTTCGCGCCGCTGTTTGCGCATGCGCAGCGACCTAAGCGTCAGAAAAAAATCTGATGTCATCTGACTGGCTTCCCTGTATCAATCAAGTGACGGGATGGATGATAGGCTGGCATCTATTTTTTTAATGCCATGCGATCTACCAATACTACCTTTGCGATCGACTGGTCGATCGCGATCGACGTATTGAGCACCCCTGCTCTACACTCTTGGTGTAACTGCAGCACATGGCCACCAAACGTTAGAACGCCTCAGAAGAGAATCCCTGTCAGTGTGGACGTGAAGCTGTGTGCAATCTAAACCATGCCGCAGCAGATTAATGACTGCCCTCATGTTGTGGACATTCTCAGACATTCTCTTGGCAGACGTGTGGTCCATTTTTTGGGATATTCTTCAGTAGTTTGGGTTGGGATCATCACTGCTGGCAACTAGGAGTTAATGCAGTGTTTCAAAATAACTACCCAGAGAGCTGCCTGGAGAGATCTCAGCATGGTCACCAGTAGTGTAGTAGTGTGACGTGCTTCTACTTATACTGACTGTGTGTTCTTGGTTGTGTGTGCGAGCACAGGTGCAGATGTAGTCAAACCTCAGATTGACAAACACTTGAGTGGGGGGCGGAGCCTGCAGGTGGTGATGTCAAAGCGAGGAGCAGGAGGGCGGGGTAAGGGGGAGCGACTGGACACCATGGCAACTCTTCAAGCAGCCAATGAGGAGCTCAGAGCAAAACTGACAGAGATCCAGATCGAACTACAACAGGAAAAGAACAAGGTAAGGACTACAAAACCCAGAGTATCCCAAAAAGTTGATCCTGTTTATTTGGACGTTTTCAGTGGGAGAAATGTTTCATCATCAAGTGACGTCTTCAGTCTCTGCTGACTGCAGGTTTCCCCAAACTTATAGACAGTTCATTGCACAATAACTGAAAGTAGCCCACTGAATGAACAATGGGCTGTGAGTTCAGTTTATGATCATTAGTATGCAAAGTGACATGACCACTGATCAGTGTCCATGAGTACCTTTCACAGAGAGTTGGAGAATGGCTGCAATCACAGCATTGTAAAATGGTAAATGGCCTGTATTTATATAGCGCTTTACTAGTCCCTAAGGACCTCAAAGCGCTTTACACATCCATTCACACACACATTCACACACTGGTGATGGCAGCTACATTGTAGCCACAGCCACCCTGGGGCGCACTGACAGAGGCGAGGCTGCTGGATACTGGCGCCACCGGGCCCTCTGACCACCACCAGTAGGCAACGGGTGAAGCGTCTTGCCCAAGGACACAACGACCGAGACTGTCCGAGCCGGGGCTCGAACCGGCAACCTTCCAATTACAAGGCGAACTCCCAACTCTTGAGCCACGATCGCCCCCATGGTGACAGATGGACCCTTAGGCCCCCTCCTCCATTCAGAGATGGTCTTTCCCCTGACTCCGCCCTCAAACCAGCGTTCCTCCCTGTCCAGGATGTTACATCCTCATCATTGAAAGAGTGTCCACTGGCCTGTAGGTGTGAATAGACTGCAGAGTCCTGGCCTGATGAGGTGGCTCTTCTGTGTTGTGCCGTCCTCTTAGCCAGAGGTTGTTTGGTTTCCCCGATGTATAAATCCTGGCACTTAACAGCGCACACTCTGTTACTCTGTGGGGGGAAACTAACCTCACAGCCCATTGTTTATTCAGTGGGCTGGTTTCAGTCATTATACAAATGTCCTGTTTATAAGGATGTAAACCTGCAGTCAGCTGAGACTGAAGACGTCACCTGGATGATGATGAAACGTCTCGCCCACTCAAAACATCCAGATGAACAGAATCAAACTTTGGGATTTTCTTACCTGGATGATTGAGTATGCATCAAGAAAAAACTCAGAGTACCACAAAGATTACTGCAAAAATTTCACAGTACTCAGAGTAATGTAATGATAATACTGAGTACTGTAGGTGAGCCGACTGGAGAGGGAGAAAAGTCAGGAGCTGAAGGCAGAGCATCACCGGGCGGCGGTTGCTGTGACTGAGCTGAGGACCAAACTCCACGAGGAGAAGCAGAAGGAGCTTTCACTCACCCGGGAGACGTTACTACGGCAACATGAGATGGAGCTCATGAGGGTCATAAAGATCAAAGATGGTGAAATCCAACGTCTTAATGGACTGGTGCTCACCTTAAGGGATGGATCCACAGACAAGGTGAACCACCTAAAGCACACCTGTCCGACACCATCCATCTGTCCATATTGTGTTCACTGCATTAAGCTCCTCCTCCACTGTACACACATATTATATGAACTTGGCCACGGTGATGTTTGTCTCTTGAGACAAATATATTTGGATGAGGGTGGAGTGCTAAGTTATCAGCTAATGCTAGCTAGCTTGGTTAACGAGTTGCACCTGGGTGCATCACACTGCACAAATGACATAAGAGGTTGGCAAAGAGTGAATTTAACTCAAGCATGTGACACAAGCAGGCCATGAAGCAGGCCAGCAGATCAGCTGTTCTCAGCTTCTGCACATCCCAGTAATAAATATCATTTACTGCTGCTGCCTCTGCAATTTCACTGTAGAAAAAATGTAGTCTGTTATGTTTAATTTCAAACACTTCTCATTTTAGGCGTAGTAGCTGTTGGAAAATAAAGCTTTAGCTGTTTAACATACAACCCCTCATAATGTATTCCCGGTTAGATACCATATTTCTAGGCTTTTCAGGGCCGAGTACAATAACCTCAGTTTGATCTGAATTAAGAAGCAGAAAGTTAGCGGCCATCCAGGTCTTTATGTCTTTAAGACATTCCTGCAGTTTAACTCATTGGTGTGTGTTATCTGGCTTCATGGACAGATAGAGCTGGGTGTCATCAGCATAGCAGTGTAAATGTATGCTATGTCTTCTAATGATGCTGCCTAAGGGAAGCATGTATAATGTAAACAGAATTGGTCCTAGCACTGAACCCTGTGGAACTCCATAATTAACCTCAGTGTGTGAAGAGGACCCCTGCAGCACAGTAGCTGTAATACCTGCATCTGGGCTGTATTCGTTCTTTACCGCCAGAGGACACCATTGGCTCTTTGTTCTCATGCTATTCAGGTGAGGAGCGCCCTGCTGGGGGAAGTGGAGGAGGCGAGAAGGAGCTGGGAGGCGGAGCGTTGTCGCTTCCAACACGAGATTCTTGAGCTGAGAGGAGCAAAGAGGAATGCTGAGGAGGCGCTGACATCGGCTCAGCAGGCCTGCCAGGCCAGAGCGGCCGAGCTGCGATCAGCTCATCATCAACACCAAGAGGAGCTTAACAGGACCAAGAGAGACTGTGAGAGAGAGATTCGCCGCCTGGTAGGAGCCTGTGACGCACACATGACTGTTTACACATTCATGATAGCTACACATAACCAGGCGCTGTGTGTTGAGGTGGCCGAGCGGCTCATCTGCTAATCAGAAGGTCGGTGGTTTGGATACTGAAGCGTCTGACATATCACAAACATGGACAGCTTTACTATTAGCATTACAACTAAAGGTAAACCTAGAAAATATAAAGAGGTTAAACACAGAAGACAGAATGAAAGAAACACAGCTGCTGCACACAGCACTTGTGTGCTGTATGAGCATAATCGGCCAGCTGCAGCTGCTTCGGCCTCATCCCGTGCAACATCTAAGGTGGGTAGATGATCGATGAAAGTCCTCCGCCATGTTGCTCGGGGGCGGCCTGGGTTGCATCTTCCGTGGACATGACGACCCTGGGCAGTCAGCGCGGGAGTTGGCGTAAAATGTGACCTCCAAAGCATGTGAGCACGTGTGTGCTCTAAACACTTTGTTCAGTATAATTGGAGAAGGTCTACTAAAATAATGAAGTTCAGCTCATTTGAAGACAGGAGACTAAAAATGGCGACTGTAAGTAAACAGATTTATCAGATCACAGCTCTGTCGTTAACACACAGTAGAATTTGATGGATTAGAATTGAGTGTCTCACTATATTAATGTTTAAAGACAATTTTAGTTGTTTATTCTTCCACTGCAGGTTTGGTGGAGTTGTGTAATGTTCTGATGAAAAAATAAAAACAGAATTTAAATGTAGAATTAGACTTCCTGCAGATTTATGCTTATTAAAAACTCAAAAATGCGTTCTGGCAAAAATGAAGTCCCGGTTAAGATGAAATTCCCAACTGCTGTGACTCTGGAAACATGGGAATCATCAATCCAGCGGCGTTTTTTTAAATAGAAAACGAGCGTGAAGGGTCGTTTTCTGTTTGGATGCAGAGTTTAAACCTGACCAAAGCATTGAGCAAGCAGCTGTCGTTGTGCAGTCAGTTAAAAATATTAAACCATAGACATCGTGCAACTTGTCTCTGAATAAGATGAAAAATGTGAAACTGGCAGATGAATGAGCCACTAAAACTGGAGCGTTCCTCTGGTGGACTCTGATGAATAAATGCATTATTATGAAAGTGAATACATGAGTAACACGGAGTGGTACGACACAAACACACACTGGTGCAGTACAGAGGCTGAACACCGGCTCACTGAAACTCCGCCGGGGACAACGATGACCTAAGACATCAACCTAAGCTGCTGGCCCAACTTATTTCTCTCAAAGTTAAAAAATCTGTGATTTTATCACGTACACATTAGTAAGATACGGTATCACGTACAAGGTTCATGCCTCAGGCCATGGAACGAAAACTTTTCAAGATTTCATTTTGACCACTGTCCTCGGTCCCGAACCCTCCCTCACATACTTCCTTTAAGGTAGAACGGACAAATTCGCACCCCAAGACTTTGTGTGGGTGGTTACCAGGTTACACTAATCTCACCTTTTAGGTTAGTGAGTAAGTAAACGTACTGCTCGCTTACATATGATGGGGTTGGAAGTTCACAGTAAAATCACAGATGCAAACTAGATCCAGCACCAAAGCAGCTGCACTAACATCCTGCAAAGGTTACCTGAGACATCAGCCAAAATAATTTATCATGGGCAGAGTCACAAAACTTTCTGACTCTAGCTTGTTTATGAGCGTGTGCACCTGCAGATTTCTCTGGACAAACCCGAAGCTCAGATACTCAGTGTGCTATACACGAGTCATTCAGGTACAAAAATCACCTGCTTCATTTTACATTACAAAGACTAGAAAGTCGCTTCTGGACCTGACTCTCACTTGTGTGTTTGAAATAACCCAAGCCTCAGTTCTCACCCCTCACCTGTCTCTGATAAAACAAAGACAGCTGACTAACCTTGCGTCCTCTAATCTGTCTCGCTGTCTGTCGCTCACCTGTCCGTCTCACCTGTCTGTGTCTCACCTGACTGAAGAGAGAGAAAACCGAAGGACGTAGCTGACTAACCCCGTCTCCTCTAACCTGTCTCAATGTCTGTCTCTCACCTGTCTGTGCGCAGATGGATGAGATAAAGCTGAAGGACAGAGCTGTCAGTGTTTTGGACAAAGCCCTCGGTCTGCAGGCTGGACACGCCCACCGCCTCCAGCTGCAGACTCAGGCTGCTGAACAGCAAATTGCAGCCCTGAGAGATGCACAGAGGGCGGGGCTAAACCACCCCACTCTTAACCCTAACCCCAACAACGCTCCTCACATTGTAAGCTCCGCCTCTTCCTGCTTGTTTAAACTGCATGTGAAAAAGCCATCTCATTTGCTTCATGTCACAAAAGCCCCAGAGCATTACAGTGGGAGTTCCTGTTTGTGTTGTGCTACTGATTCATGACTTATATACTGTGTCACCCTCAGCTGTGTGCCAGGCACAAGCTTGCACCAGTGCAGAAACAAAGCAGATTCAGCAACCACTGGGACTGAGCCTGTCGTCATGGCTGCGATTTATGATTGTGACTTTAGTGATACAAGCCTGCTGTATTCACCGAATATTCACAGCACCACAGACCAAACCGCAGCAGTCAAAGACAGGATAATACCTACAGAGCAGCTGGATGCTGCTAGAGATCAGCTGTTCACAGAGAGTTAAACTGGCACAGCATCTCTCTACTGTGGTGTCTGCAGTGTTTCCCTTCACTGTTCACATAGACCAGAAGGAAGGCAGCAGTTTAGCTAAAATAATCCAGCAAACATTCCCCAATGTCAGCTCTCAGGGGCTCTGTGTATTTTTTAACATCCCACATCAGGCTCCTTCTTCATCAACTATCAATATACTCAACATTCACTGAGCCATCCAAAAACCTGCACAGGTGTATGTGTTCAGGTGACTAATACTGGGAAGGACAAACAGCATCAGGGACCACAGCAAGTACCAATACCAAGACAGTGCTGTGGTCTTGTGTTGAGACAGATTTTTAAAATGTCACAAAACTGAAGCCTAATTTTAAAAGTAGAGTGAGTGTGTACAGAAGAGGGGCCTGAAAACTGAAGGCTCTGCCTCCCATTCTACTTTTAAATACTCTAGGAACAACAAGTAGGCCTGCAGAGCGAGAGCCAAGTGCTCTAATAGGGTGATATGGTACTACAAGGTCATTAAGATCAGATGGGGCCTGATTATTTAAGACCTTGTATGTGAGGAGCAGGATTTTGAATTCTGGATTTAACAGGAAGCCAAAACAGGAGAAATCTGCTCTCTTTCTAGTCCCTGTCAGGACTCTTGCTGCAGCATTTTGGATCAGCTGAAGGCTTTTCACGGAGTTTTTAGGACTTCCTGATAATAATGAATTACAGTCGTCCAGCCTGGAAGTAATAAATGCATGAACTAGTTTTTCAGCGTCACTCTGAGACAGGATATTTCTAACTTTAGAGATGTTGTACAAATGGAAGAAAGCAGTCTTACATATTTGTTTAATATGTGCGTTGAAGGACATGTCCTGGTCAAAAATGACTCCAAGGTTCCTCACAGTGTTACTGGAGGCCAAGGTAATGCCATCCAGAGGAAGAATCTGCTTAGATACCATATTTCTAAGCTTTTCAGGGCCGAGTACAATAACCTCAGTTTGATCTGAATGAAGAAGCAGAAAGTTAGCGGCCATCCAGGTCTTTATGTCTTTAAGACATTCCCTGATGGGTAGATAAAGTTTGGTATTATCCTCATAGCAGTAAAAATGTATGGCAAGCCTTTGAATGACACTGCCCTGATACTGATATTTGCCCTAGTGCAGAACCTTGTGGAACTTTATAATTAACCTAAGTGTGTAAAGAAGAAATTGGAGTCTGTTATTTAGATATGATTAAAGAAACCACAGCAGTGCATCGTCTAATCGCTGTAACTGCACTGAGGTCTACTGGACAGATCATTTGTAACCTTCACTAAAGCTGTTTACTGTGATGAGCTCTGAAACCTGACTGAAACTCTTCAAATATAGTTCATATAAACTGTGTTTGAATGTGTTAACACTAACCCTTTCCAAACTGTTGAGTTGGTATCTTGATGTATGCTCTATCATCCAGGTAAGTAAACCCCAAAAGGTTGATTCTGTTTATCTGGACGTTTTCAGTGGGAGAACCTTTTTGTCACTCATCCAGGTAGGGCTGCTCGATTATGGCAAAAATGATAATCACGATTATTTTCACTGAATCTCGATTATGTGATGATATTTATTTAACAATAACAATGTGTTGAATAATGACTTTAAAGATTGTCACAAAATAATCTAAAATAGTGCAAATACTGATAACAGTGCAAATGTTTGCAGTATAACAAATCAATGAAAAATGTAAACATCTGTGTTTAGTGAACTTTGCAGTGTTGCTCTGTGGTGCAGCTACGACACCGTAGCAAAGTTTACACACTGTGTCTACTTGATCCACGTCTGACTGAACCCATAATGTTTCCACACCACTGAAGTTTTTTTCCTCTCTTTTCAACCAACAGCAGTCACTCTCCTCTCCAAATAACTTCTGCTGAGCTTTCCGAGCTTCCCTCGGGTCCTCTTAGTCAGCGGTCCCCAACCCCCGGGCCTCGGACCGGTACCGGTTTGGTGCCGGGCCGCGAGAGTTGAGGCTCAGGCTTGAAATGTCTGGTTTTCAGGGTTTTTATCGGTTTTCAGCGTTATTTTGTTATCGTTTTTATCGTTTACTCTGTTTTCCTGGGTCTTTTCACGTGTGTTATGAATAAATATATATAAATATAAATATATTTATTATATAATATAATATATAAATATAATAAATCTTATTTTTTTCGGTACCGGTACTAGTTTTATTTTGTTGTATTTATCCGCGACACCTTAAAGGCCGGTCCATGAAAATATTGTCGGGCATAAACTGTCCATGGCGCAAAAAAGGTTGGAGACCGCTGCTCTTAATCGTGGTGACACGTGTTGGAAATGCAGAGAGGTGCGCTCGATTTGCCACACGGAGCAGCGCGAGAGTAAAGCACGAGGGAGGGGCTAATAATCGGCTCAGTCATTTTTAATGATCGTTGAAAGCCCAGATCGTAATCGAGATTAAAATTCGATTAATTGAGCAGCCCTACATCCAGGTGACTTCTTCAGTCTGACTGCAAATTTCCAACCTTATAAACAGTACGTTTGCACAATGACTGAAACTAGCACCACTGACGAACAGTGGGCTGGGAGTCAGTTTCATAATCATTGTTGAGATGGTACTTGACCTAATGACTGCTCTGTGACTGCTAATATCCAACATGTTTTAAATAACACAGTATAATACCCCCTAATAGTTAGACTGAGTCACACTGTACTTCTCTCAAAGTATACCACCAGAGGCATCTTTCTTATAAATAATACCCCAGTTACCCAGCAGAGTGTTTCAGGGCCTTCCTAGCCATCCTAACAGTCTTGAAGTGTACAGCATGGTAAAGTCCTGAGTTACCATCCAGGCTAATTTGAGACCGGAAATTAAGGCCAATAACAGGTTGACTTCAGCCAAACTTTTTGCTGTTTCACCTCAAGAAATGTGGTGTCTACACAAACTACATGTGCAGTCTTCTTCTACAGACCAGGCTCAAAGGGCTAAGGTAGACAGAGAGAGACAGAAAACTTAGGCTTTTAAAACAAACTTGGAGCTAACCAGACCTTTAACAGTCTAGCAGAAAGATGCACTCAACTTTCTCATGGACCTTTTAAAATTTTACTGACTAGTTATTAGAGAGTGATAGAACACTAAAATGGGATGTCTATAAGTAAAAGTCCTCTGTAAAGGTTTGTTGACTTTGTGCCAAAGTTCCTTAGAGGTTCACCTTTTAACACCATTTGTACTGTTACTGAATTCTCTTAAGATTTCAGTTTGTTCTGTTTGATTTTCAGTTTGTTTCAAATTATATTTTTAGTAATTCAGTGTTGAAGAAATTCCTATTGTATGAAAATACAAAAGAAACTTTAGATTTTTCATGTGTTTGCATGCTACCTCGCTGATGATGCTTGAATGCAGTTTGCAGTTAGGCATTTGGTTGGTGGCTGACCTTTGACCTGGGCTGTCGTTCTTGTGCTCAGTCTCAGGAGGATCGTGACACTCGGAGGTTTCAGCTGAAGATAGCTGAGCTCAGTGCCGTCGTCAGGAAGTTAGAGGATAGAAATGCTCTACTGTCAGAAGAACGCAACGAATTGGTAAAGCACACACACACACACACACACACACACACAAAACCTTATATTGGACCCATTGCTCATTTCTTTATTTATCTCTTTACCTGTCATGTGTGGTAGTTTTAGCAAACAGAATCATGGCCTGAATGCTTTGTTGTGCCAAACACATTTGTTTTACCAAGAGGAGAACTATGGCCTCTCTGTAGGCTCCTATTGTTAATCTTTTTTTTGTTTATATATATATATTTTTTACATTATTATCAGAGTGGGTGTTGTGCTGAAGCAGACAGGAGGTTGGAGGCCAGTTTGGTGAAGGTGGAGAGTCTAGGTTGATGCAAACAGGGTCTCCAACTGCTGCATCTGTAACAAAACACAAAGCACCTGAAAGACACAACAAGGCAAGATTCTCAAACATACAATTTTGTCATATGTGGGAGAAGATTGTGAGCGTTTGTATGAGCAGTATGTTTCTTTTTATGTCAGTGCAGTGGTGGCCTGTTGGGTGAGTGTGGAAATTAGACTGCGATTAGATTTGAGGAGACATGAGCAGATGGTCAACAGTGCTCATCGCCGCCTCATAGGGCTGCTCGATTATGGCAAAAATGATCATCATGATTATTTTCACTGAAATTAAGATCTCGATTATTTGACGATATTTATTTAACCCTTTAAGACCTACCATAGAACCAAGTCCGCCAGAGCTTATATTATTTTTTTACATGCTGTAGTGCCATTTGTGGGAGCATTTCAAGTTGCTATACATCAATACAACTGTTATAGCCCATATTTTAATAATATGTATGCATTAAGTCCATAGTAACTACATTAATTGCAAAAAAGTGCAAAAAACTACAAAAAAATTGAAAATCGTTTTTGTTTTTTTTGCATATATTTCTACTTGGAGAAATTTAAGAGGTTTGTCCCTCAAAACTTTAAATACAAAAAAATTGTAAAAAATAGTTTACAACAACAGGAAATTTATTTTGAGTGTCTTGATAGTTTTATTTTGGAGATACAGCAATTTTTATATACTGCAGGAAAAACGAAAAACAATCCTATGATGCAAATTTGCAAAGAAAACAGCATCAAAATAAACTATTTCCAGCAGTGCAATTTGAGTTCCAAGCATCCCAGAAACTATTCAGAAAAGTATAGAGTCAAATATGACTTATAAAAACACCAGTATAGGCTTTTAAGGCCTACAAGTAAAAAACTACATTTTCTGCGAAAATGACGTCACTTCCGGTTTCGGGCAGGAAATGGCAGACATGCGATAGTTCGCGCTGACCTCCTTTTCAATGTGGGAAGTGTTACGAACAGCTGATCGGATCGGCAAAGCGTGTTTCTGGAATATTGTGTTTTTGTTCCTGCAAGCGCTTTTTATGCAATTTTTGCAAAGCTTCATGTGGAAGGAAACTGTGACCGAGGACAAGCTGATGGCATAAGATGTAAGTACAACTCCTCCGGTTTCATATGCAAAAAAATTATTGCGCTAGCTTACGCGGTTCAGGTTCTACAGGGATTTAAAAATAGTTACGCAAAATGGAGCGTGCTGCTCTGACCGGCTTTAAAGGGTTAACAATAACAATGTGTTGAATAATGACTTTAAAAAATAATATAAAATAGTGCAAATACTGATAACAGTGCAAATGTTTGCAATATAAGAAATAAATGAAAAATGTAAACATCTATGTTTAGTCAACTTTGCAGTGTTGCTCTGTGGTGCAGCTACGACACCGTAGCAAAGTTTACACACTATGTCTACTTGATCCACATCTGACTCCGCGAACCCATAATGTTTCCACACCACTGAAGTCTTTTTTACCTCTTTTCAACCAACAGCAGTCACTCTCCTGTCCAAATAACTTCTGCTTAGCTTTCCGAGCTTCCCTCGGGTCCTCTTAATTGTTGTGACGCGTGTTCGAAATGCAGAGAGGTGCGCTCGATTTGCCACACGGAGCAGCGCGAGAGTAAAGCACGAGGGAGGGGCTAATAATCGGCTCAGTCATTTTTAATGATCGTTGAAAGCCCAGATCGTAATCGAGATTAAAATTCGATTAATTGAGCAGCCCTACCGCCTCAGCAGCCCACCCACCAACCTCTGGGTATCACATATGTCCCCAGACGTCCTATGTGTATGGTTATGTGTCCTGAACTGTAATGACTACAGTGTAATTAATGGCTGTGCAGCACAGTGAGCAAAGTCCTACCGATTGAGGCCTGTGAGGCATATATTCCCCCTCGTGATATTACGTGTGTTAGTGTTGTGCTGTCAGAAGAAGCGGGGAAGGAAAAAGCATGTAGTTCTCAGCACATAAGCCTGCAGGTTCTCAAAAGCCCCCAAGGCACAGACCGGACATCTCAGTGTGGGCCTACCCACCCCACCAGGTGAAGCAGCCAAGGGGATGCAGTGCACCCCCACACAAGCACGGTCCCAACCAGAAAATGGGCAACCCCAGCACCAGGGCCCTGGACCATGCACACAAAGAGAAGAAGCCTGGAACTCTCTGGAACACAAGGAATTAAGGTCAGAAACAAACTCAGTTACTCGCCTCCCTCAATGCTACCCGGAGCATCTCCTTCCCCCTCAGAGCCCCACGTGCTCCACCTGCCAAGCAAGCAACTCAAACCAATCTTCATCTACCTCTGGTTCACCTTCTAACTATGTTCTCCTTTATTTGCAGTTACTCCACATCCGAACACACTACATTTCCCTTCCTCATGTTTCAAGTTTATTTTCGTGTTTGTAATAAAGCCTGTGAGAAATCTATCTGCTGTCTCCATGTTTGATCTGCGCTTCGGTCCACGTTCACATACTGGCTCCCGGGCCCCCTTCACACAGTGAGGACTATGCGATGTATTTGTTTCCATATCTAATTCACTTACATCAGCTAAGATGCACAGCTTGGCTGAGGTTGGGATATGTCAACTAAACCATGTGGATAGGTCTCTGCCAGGCACGTGCAGAGGGGGGGGCTAGAGGGGCTTGAGCACCCGCCCCTTTAAACCTCTGCACGGCCCTGGTCTCTGCCACAACCTCTGAACAGGTGTACAAGACCATATACGGTAGTGTGTATATAGTTCTCAGTAGAGTTACCTCTGCATTGTTTGCATATGCTAGAGTCTGCAAGACCTTTGTGGAACATCCTTTGTCCTGTATAGTTTGTTCTATGGAGAGTTTTGTATTGTATGAGTTGCTGCATTACAAAAGCTTTTTCCAGATGTGTTCTCCCTGCTGCCCCGTCATACCACTCTCACAGAGCGCTGTTTTGAAAAGCACCCTGAGTGACTGTGCATGCACTTCCCTATAGATTCCCCGAACATAAAAGGCAAATAGCTCACACTGTATTGGCTGCTATGCTGGAGATAGGGGTAACAGAAGAATCCCACAGTTCCTGGTGTAACCCCATAGTTCTTGTAGTTCCTGTGTGGATTATCACAAGGTAAATGAGGTATCACAGTTTGATGCTTATGCCCTGGGTCGATGAGCTCCTAGACTGGTTAGGTACTGGATATATCCAGGGGATAGATCCTTGTCTCCAGAGTCTAAGTAAAACGGGCCTTCTCCACTCTGTATGGTTTGCACGAATTCATCACACTTCTGTTGTTCTGAGCCCCAGTCACCTTTCTCATGGACCAAGTGCTGCATCCAAACACTTCATATGCTGCTCCCTACCTGGATTAGATTATGATCCATAACAACATCTATGTGGAGCATGTGCCGGTGGTCCTGGAGTGCCTGAGGCAGGGCTGACGGCCAACCGGAAGAAGTGTGTGGTTGGACAGACAGAGGTACAGTATCTGCAGTGCCACCTGGGAGTTGGATAAGTGTGTCCACAGATGGAGAAAATACAGCTATAACATCCTGTCTGCGTCTCATGACCAAAAAAGACGTGAAGTGGTTTTTGGGGCTGGCTGTTTGTGTCTGGCTTCATGAAGCTGACCAACACTTTGGCTGATCTCACTTGAGAACGTGCACCAGAGGATGGGTCAGTGCCAGGCAGCATTTGACCTGGTCAAAGAGGCTTTTTGTGGGGAACCTCTGCTCCACACCCCTGACTTTTCCCTTTCTTTCATTCTGCAGATGGATGCCTCAAACTGGGCTCGGGGCTGTTTTGCCCCAGCAGGTAAGGGGGGTCGACTGCCCTGAGACAGAGGCCATATACAGCACAGTGGAGAAGGAATGTCTGGCAATTTGGTGGGTGGTCGACTGCCTTCGTTATTATCTCTTGGGATGTTCATTCAGACCAAAAACTGTTGCAATAGCTTCACCGCATGAAGGATCTCAATGTCTGGATCACCCAGTGGTATCTGGCTCTCCATCCATTTAAGTGAAAGGTGCTCTATAGGCTGGAGGCACAGATGGTCATGGCTACGTGGCGAGTTCTGGCCTGCGGCTCTGCTGGAAAGGAGAGGCTGTGCAGCGGGCTCGGAGGCAGTTCCATGAGGGCTGGCAGAGCAGTTGGGACTGATTGTTTAATCGTGCGCTTTCTATTTTAGTAGACAGCTAGGACCGGAGGAGGTGACCTGAACAGAGTTGATCCAGGTGATTGTAAGGAGCTTGGAAAGAAAAGCATCTGTACTTCTTCAAGTTGCTTGAAGACATTTCACCTCTCATCTTCAGTTCTAGGGTAGATGGTGGAGAGTCCCAGATTTAATTAATGTCACCTGACCGTACTGGAGTGGTGGAGCAGTTCTGAAAATTACAATTCAAAGGCAGAACTGCTGATTTGCTTCAGCTGATGGAGTAGTATAATATTAAGAGTGTCTGTCCTCAGAAAAGAGGTTTGTGAGTTACCACGCAAAAGTAAACATCAGCAAATAAGCTTACTGTATGGTCTGTATTTCCAGTTTGAATTTCTCTAATATCTACATTGTGTCTGATTGCTACTGCTGGTGGTTTGATGAAAATGACAAAAGCAACGGGGGAAGCAGACAGCCCAGTCTGGTGCCCCTCTGTAGATTGAAGCTGGGGAGTAAGGTTGTTTGTCCTAGCTGATGTGCTTGGAGAGGTGTATGAATTTCCAGTTTACCTGGTCAAATGGTTTCCTTATGTAGGGTCCTTATGTTGGCTGGTTTAAGAAGTACACTGACAATGGCAGAGTTCATTCTGAATTTGGTTTACCATTCTGAAAAAAGTGGGTGCCAATGTTGATGAAACTTTGCTGGAAAAGCGTCTCGACCTGGGGCTTTATTGTTTGGGAGATGCTGTAGGGCAGGGGTGCCCAATCCCGGTCCTCGAGAGCTACCGTCCTGCAGCTTTTAGATGCATCCCTACTCCAACACAGCTGAATCAAATGGTGTGATTACCTCTTCAGCATGCCATCATGTTTGGCAAAGGCCTGATAACAAGCCATTCATTTGATTCGGGTGTGTGGGAACAAGGATGCATCTAAAAGCTGCAGGACGGTAGCTCTCGAGGACCGGGATTGGGCACCCCTGCTGTAGGGCTTTGTGAAATTCAGACACTGGAGAGGTGAATCCAGAGCTGTCATTTGTTAGCCGTTTAGTTTCAGTGGATTTATATTGTTAAGAAATTCTTCAATGTCAGCATGGATTAATCTGGGGTGAATATACGTTTCCTAATTATTTGTTGTGCAGTACTGTTCTCCGTTGAATCCTTATAGATGTTTTTTCTTAATTTATCTTTAACTGGTTGGTAAGGAATTTTCCAGATTTATTGCCATGTTTAAAGTTCTTCAAACGCAGCATTTGTGTCAGAAATTGTGTTTTATTATTATTAATTATTTCATTTAACTATAGTTTTAATTTTCTCAGGTTGTTAATTGTATGTTAATAGGGAGCTTCTAATGATTACATTTTCGGTTCTATTTTATTTGTGTATTATTTTGTCTTTCCTGATTTTCAAAAAAACACCGTTATATTCCTGGAAGGTCATTATTATCTTTCCCACTCTGATGTCCACTGATATGAACACCAAACATCGCAAAGACCAAAATCACTCATGTGTTGTTTGAGAATGTCGGTAGACTTCCAGTTCCTTTGACTCACAGCTGTACTGAGCATATCAATTTGTGGATTAAATACCAGGTTGACGTCTCCTCCTATTATAGGAGTGATGTCAGAGTGATCTGAAAGTGAAGTGAAGATGTAATAAAAAGGAGGGCCTATCAACATTTAGTGATTCATATTTTGAAAACATAAATTAAGTATTATAAATCCACCTTCTGGATCTGTAATACTGTTGCTAATGGTCAAGTTTATTTTTCTGCTAATTAATATGGCTACATGTCTTTGTTTTACCGTATTTACCGCACTATAAGGTGCACGTAAAATCCTTAAATCTTCACAAAAATCGACAGTGCGCCTTATAATCTGGTGCGCCTTATGTATGAATTTTGGTTTGTGCTTACTGACCTCGAACCGGTTTTATGTGGCACACTGTGCTCAAAAATCTGTCAAAAAAAGATTTTTAGTGCCACTTTTTGGAGCATTACGGTTACTGTTGCCAGGAGCCTCGCGGAGTAATACGTACTGTGCTTCAACACAACATTACCGTGTTGTGTGTGTATAACGACTCCAAAATGGCACCCGCGAAGAGACACGCTTACGAAGCGGATTTTAAACTTCGAGCAATTAGTTAAGCAAAAGAAAATGGAAATAGAGCAGCTGCCAGACAATTCGGCATTAATGAGTCGATGGTGCGCAAGTGGAGGAAGCAAGAAGATGACCTAAAACAAGTAAAGACAACCAAAAGGAGTTTCCGAGGGAACACGGCGCGATGGCCGCAGTTAGAGGACAAAATTGAACAGTGGGTTATTGAACAGAGAACAGCAGGCAGAAGTGTCTCTACAGTCTCTATTCGACTCAAGGCTACAGCAGCACGTGACGTGCAGATTAACAACTTTCGAGGGCGACCTTCTTGGTGCTTCCGTTTTATGAAAAGGCATAATCTCTCAATCCGCACAAGAACTACTGTCTCACAGCAACTGCCAAACGATTACAAAGAAAAGTTGGCCATTTTCCGCACCTACTGCCAAAATAAGATCACTGAAAAGAAGATCCGGCCAGAACACATCACTAGCATGGACGAGGTCCTCCTTACCTTTGACATCCCCGTGAACCGTACTGTCAAGAAAACAGGGACCAGTACGGTATCTATACGCACCACAGAGAACGAGAAGTCATCCTCCACTGTAGTTCTGGGCTGCCAAGCTAATGGCCAGAAACTACCACCCATGGTCATTTTCAAGAGGAAGACTTTGCCAAAAGAAAAGTTTCCGGGCGGCGTCATCGTGAAGGCTAACTCAAAGGGCTGGATGGACGAGGAGAAGATGAGCGAGTGGCTGAGTTTATGTCAAGAGACCGGGTGGCTTTTTCCACAAATCTCCGTCTCTTTTGATCTACGACTCCATGCGTGAAGCAAACTAATTAACATTGTATGTGACAAACCTCAGAGCGTTCATGTTTAAAGTAACTGGTGGGGTGTTGAATGTTCGCTAAATCGCTGTGTGTGTGTCTGTCTGCTTGTGTATGTACCTGTGCTGTGTGATTGTGAAGTAAATCACAGCATTGGAGGCAGAGCAAATACAATGAGTGCAGAGAGAAATGGTGTGAAAACTGAGATGTGCAGCCACCAATGAACCATTCGCAAGTGACGTTATATCAACAACAACAAACAAATAGAGGGGAATTTAAGAAAAAACAACACGAGAAAACAGGCTGTGGTCATTAAACCAGCATGAATTGTTCTGTGTAGACATGTCTATTAAACAGGGGAAAAGGATATGGAAAAGAATGAGAAAGAGGCCTTAGTATAGCTACAGATGGTCTAGTCACGATAAAGCTGCCACTGATGCACAGTTTATAGACCACAGTGACAGCTCGGGAGCCTCCGTGGATGAATTTCTTTCAGATCAGGAACAGGACTTTGCATTGCTCCAGGAGCTCTTTGAGAAACCGAAGTTTGTTGCTGTCAGCTCCCAGCCATGGCTCTACACCAGCTCTTTCTGTTTAAAGTTTTCCAATTTGGACACAGTTGGTCTGGGTCTGCGTCCATCAGCTTGCTTACGTCCCAGATGATGGACATAATGGAAGCTGATGTTTTACCATGTGGAGTTTGAGGTGGATCTAGATGTAATGTCTCACTGTAGTTTGCAGGTCCTTTGCTGCCTTCTCTAGGATGCCTCCAGGCCTAGCATGCTGCAGGCCTGGAGCTCGACGACAGTTTCCTTGATTTTTTTTAATTTTCGTCTGAGATCTGGGTCATACCGTCGCTGAGGGATTACCCCGACTCTCCCCGGCCACAGCAGTGAGTGTGTTCACCTGCGGCTGGCTGAACTCCACGGACTTACGCAGCACCTGAAAGTCTTTATGCAAGATTTCCAGTGGGGGCAGGTATATGTCAAAGCTCGATGGTTTTTTTTTATCTATGGACACCAAAATCTCCATCATGTTGCTAGTCTGAGGAGAAGCCCGTTCCAAACATGTTTCCTTTGCTGCTGGATGGAGTCAGTGTCTTGTTTCCCCTTAACAATGGACCTGAAACACTTGCAGGTATACTGCTTCTACTGTCCCGGTCTTCTTTGTGGTCCTCCAGAGTGCTTAAGTTGGTTGAAACACAGTTTTCAAGCTGTATAGGAGTAAGTTGGCAGAGAAAGCTAGTGACTGAAATGTTCTCAATCAGTAGCACGCCCGGTGATATTCACGCTGGGTCTCGTGTTAGCTCCTCCTTCCCTTTATTGTCCTAACTCTAACCCAGGCTGATCCTAACTAATAAGGCAGCTACACCTGTAGAGGGTAATGTTGAGTAAATTAATTGTTACATTCCACCTTATGCAGCTAATGAACCGCAACTCATGCAGTGCCTCTCCAGCCCAGGAAACAAAATATGGAGCTTGAAATGAGACCGTAAGCTTAATGGACTCCAATCATAAGAACTACAAACACTGTAGGGCACTGTCACCCTAATGTTATCTTACCTGGGGCTAATGAATTACTTGATAAAATCCTTGTCCTCTTCCTGCCTGTATGTTTTTATTTTTCGTGTGTTCTGCAGTTGAAGCGCCTGAGAGAGGCCGAGAGTCAGTTTCTTCCTCTTCTGGACAAGAACAAGCGTCTGAGCCGCAAAAACGAAGAGCTGGCTCTAGCGCTGCGTCGACTCGATAACAAGCTTCGCTTCGTCACCCAGGAGAATCTGGAGATGGTAACTATGGTAACCTCTGACTCTAACACACCCTATTCTGTATCAGTCAAACTGGTGATGGTGTTGGAATTGATGTGATGTCCAGCTTCCACACGCAGTTACTGCTTTTTACCAGCAGGTGTCAGGATTCACTCACACTTCAGGGTTTAGGTACTTCATTGACAACCCAATTACAAGACTGAAGTTTAATTTGTCATTTTATTTGGATCTTTCACCTCTTACACCAATGATCCAAAAGATTGAATGATCCCGATTATAAACCAGGATGCTGCTGGAAGGCTCTCGGCCACGCTTGACCCTGGCAGGACTCTTGGTGTCTTGTAGAATAGAATAGATCTGTATTGTCACTGTTACAAGAACAATGAAACACAGTTTGGCATCTCTCCGTTGGCAGGATGTAGATTTACATTCAGTTTTTGGATAGGAGAGGAAGATAAGATAGACATAAGTTTAAGGGTACCTACTGAGGGAGTGTGTGTAACACACAATAGCGTAACACAGGCTACACAGTAACACAGGCATTTACACAAAAAAGATATGTACAAGTTATACATACAAAGGAGTACATACGCATACACACATACATACCTACCTATATACACAAACATATACACAGATATATACGTACGTTTTAACAATTAATGTAAATCTATCTCATATACAGGGACGCCTCTGAAACAAAGTGTCGTCCATTCTTCAAATTTCTGTCCCTGGATAAATGAAAATATTCTGAATTTTAGGAAATATTGTCGCAAGTTAGAACGTTTATGGAAGGCTTCCAAGCTCGAGGTTCATGGGATACATCTCAAGGAATCAATTTCCTCACTTAATGACATGATTAAAAAATGCTAGAACTGAATTTAAAAAAAGAACCATCCCAAAGTGTTGTTTGATATCCCTCATGTACCAGTCTATACTAAATCTGATTGTAATGAATTTTTGAACTATTTTGTAAATAAAGTCGCTGCCATCAGGTCTATTATCTCTCCATCATCCTCTCAGTATCACACTGAAAATATCAAAATGATCATCTGTGTCAAAGATCTTGGAAAAAAGAGTTGCAGAACAACTGAACAACTTTTTGGAGAAGAACAATGTTCTGGACATTTTCCAAGTCCGGTTTCCACAAATTGCACTCGACTCAAACCACTTTACTTACAGTGTGTGGTGACATGTTGATGGCAGCAGACTCTGGGGAGTGCTCGTACTGGTTATACTGGTTCTCTCCTCAGCTTTTGATGCTGTTGATCACAGCATCCTGATAAATAGGCTAAAGGACTTGTTCAGGATTACTGGTGTTGTTTAAAATGGTTTATGTCGCATCTATCTGAGAGATCTTTACTGTCTGTATGAATCATGTGTTGTCTGAAACATCAGCTCTGCCTTCTGGGGCACCTCAAGGATCTGTTTTAGGTCCGATTCTCTTTTTGCTGTATATCCTCCCTCTAGGCCAAATTATCATCTCCATGCTGATGACATTCAGTTATACTGTTAAGCTTCTGAGTTTTATGAATTGCCTTGTTTAAATAATTGTCTGTCAGAAATCCAACAATGATCAAATGACAATTTAATCACAACTTTGATTTTTGGTCCTGACCATATAATCTCAGAAATTAAGCAGCATATCAGTTTTTTACTCCCTCCTGTTCAATCGAGTCTCAGAAACTTGGGCATCATATTTGACAGTACAGTGTGAATCTTTCCAAACAACTAGTCCAGAACTGTTTTTATCATCGAAGAAACATTTGTCAACTCAGACTACTGGTGTCAAAGACAGAACCTGAGATGATTCATGCTTTTATTTCTTCTCGTTTGGATTATTGTAACGGTCTTTGTGCTTCCAACAAATCTGCTCGGGATCGCCTTCAAACTGTACAGAATGCTGCGGCGAGACTTTTAACTGGCACTGACAAGAGGTCACACATTACTCCAGTTCTGGCTTCTCTTCACAGGTTGCCAGTAAATTTTAGGGTTCATTTTAAAATTTTAGTCGTAACTTTTAGAGCTCTGCATGGTGAAGCTCCCCAGTCCATCTGACCTGTTGAAACCTCATGCTCCATCCCGAGCACTTAGGTCTTCAGGTCAGAAGTTACTGTTGGCCCCATGTACTGGGTTCAAAACAGGCGCCGAGGCTGTGGAACTCTCTTCTGTTGGCTTTACGGTGTTTAGACTCAATTGACTCTTTTGAAAAGCAGCTGAAGGCATTTCTATACAAGCTTTTAATTCATTTTCTCATTGTTTTATATTATTTTATTTAGCACTTTGTGATTTTTATCTGTGAAAATACATTTTACTTACTTTTACTTACTTACTGTAATGGAAATTACACTAAAGCAGAAACTGTTATAGTTAGGGCTGTGCGATATGACCAAAATCACATATCCCTATGTAAGACAAAAATTTAACATTTTCTGTAAATTCTGTGAAATTTGGTCCACTCAACTTGCGTGAAGTGTTTTCAGCTGGGCGTCGTTTACCTGGAGTCGAGTGTTACATAAGTTGAAACGGACGCAATTTTCTTTATGGGCTCTTTCTTAGCTTATCGTCCGTAAACACTCTTGTCCGAAATACTTTGCAGTTTATTTTGAAAAATCTCAACAGGATCTTGAGCTTTATTGTGAAAGGTTTATGTGGAAAATAAACAAGCCACACGATGGTTTTACCATCGTTGTTGGTAATGACAACGCATAAAAACAGTCACTTGTCCACTGTAGTGTGGTTATATTAAATATAAGAGAAAAATAGAGCTTTGGGAAATTCTACCGTGACCATCAAAACCATGAAAAAATATTGCTGAAAACTGTTTATTTTACCACAAAACAAACGATAGCGTAATATGAAACCATAGACGTTTTTATATCGTTACATCGAACAGCCCTAGTTATAGTATACTTTATTCAAACACAGTGAAACAGTGCTGCATCAGCTGCTGAGCATTTCTTCCACATCTATTCATTTTAGTTATATTTCTATATGAAAGAAAAGACAACCCATCATGGCCGAGCACTTGGTGACAGTGAGCATGAAAAACCATCAAACAGCAATCGAATACTTTAGCGTACCATTGCTATGGTAACAGCCATGCTTTTGTGGTCCACAGAGGAGGCCAAGTTCATTAAATGATCTGGACCGCAGCCACTCCACCAGTTACCATGGTTACAGTCAGGACGAGAGAGAGATGGAGTTTCTGCAGTTACAAGTCCTGGAGCAGCAACACATCATTGATGACCTGTCCAAGGTACCCATACTACTGATTCAGTTCAATTCAGTTCAGTTTGTATAGCGCCAAATCACATCAGTTGCCTCAAGGCGCTTTATGTTGTAAAAGAAATACCCTACAATAATACAAATAAACCAGAGTAAATCTCAACAATCATATGACTGCCTATGAGCAGCACTTTGGCGAGAGTGGGCAGAAAACACTCACTTTTAACAGGAAGAAACCTCCAGCAGAACCAGGCTCAGGGAGGGGCGGGGCCGTCTGCTGTCAACAGGAAGAAGCCAAAGATTAATAATAACTAGTAATTAAATGCAGAGAGTTGTATAAAAACATAGTGAGTGAAGAAGAAACACTCAATGCATCATGGGAGTCTCCCAGCAGCCTAAGGGAGGATTCAGGGTCACCTGGTCCAGCCCTAACTATATGCTTTAGCAAAAAGGAAAGTTTGAAGCCTGATCTTTAAACAATCCAGGGTCTACCCTGTCTCCTGCCCTAAGACAGCTGTGATAGACTCCAGCCCCCCCTCCCCCCCACGACCCTGAATTGAATAAGTGGAAGAGGGGGATGGATGGATGGACACACATAAGCCCATATGTGTTCATTCATAGTTTTGATGCCTTCAGTGAGAAACCACAATGTGAAAAAACCCATTAAGTGAGCAACTGTGTCCATACAGACGACAAGTAATACTGTTACTGCTCCTACTAGTACTACACACACTCACACATTTATACTTGTACTACAGTTCAGTACTTCACTGTAATAAGACTTAGTTTGTGTTTACAGGCTCTGGAGACAGCTGGTTATGTGAAGAATGTGATTGTAAGTATTGAATCATACCAGTGTTAATACAGTTGTTGGTGTGTCCTGTGTGATGGATTGTGAGCTTTGTATCAAACATGCATAGAATCAGTGATAACCCTGAGAGTAAGGTCTTTCTATTAATAGTGAAACATGCTGCTGTCTGTCTGTCTGTAGGAGAGAGACATGTTACTGAGGTACCGGCGTCAGGAATCAGGGAGGAGGAAACGGACCTTCAGAGCCTGCAGGGTGAGGCCAGGCCTGTACCCCGATATTTCTTTGTTTGTGTGTAAGAGATGTGCAGAGAAGTGTATGACGAAGCCAGGTTAATTCTTTAGCGAGCTGTTTACCTATTGAATCTCCATGAAAACCGAGGCTGACCAGCTTACCTGATCAGAAGCAGGTGACCCTCAGCATTTCTTTCATGTGCAGAACGCTTTCAGTGTTTTGTGTGCAGCTTGTTCCTGAAAGCAGCAAATGAAGCCCTGCTGCAAAGCTCCAGCAGCTCAGACTGAATGTGCATCCCATTACGTAAAGTGAAGTTGGAGCGACGTCTTTTATAAGTCATTTTTGGACCTCCAGTTTTGGTCCACTGAGAGGGTCCACTGTAAAACCAGGTGACAACTTTTTTTTAAATGTCTGCTTAATGTTGTCGTCAATAGAAACGACATGTAGGGGCTATTTATGGCACATTGAGGAGGATGGAAACCTCAACGTTTACATTTGCTGGAAACCCACAAACACAGACCAGTACCTACTCCCCACTTGACTTCCACCACCCTCTGGAACACAAACTTGGGGAAATCGGGATCCTGCAACCCTGGAAAAACATCCCCTCTAAGCCAGAAGGGGAAACAAAGGAACACACATGTAAAGAAAGCTCATAAACATGTGGTTATCCCAGCTGGGTTTTCATCAAATCAACTAAGATGCACAGCAAAGACGGTCAGACACCAACTAGAGAGGATCAGAAGGACAAACAGAACAACTGTCATCCCTCATGTGGCAGGTTTATCAGAGAAACTCAGGAGAGTCTTCCCCAAGCACGACATCCCAGTGTACCCAGCCACACACTCAGACACAAACTGGTTCATCCCACACACAACCTCAACAATGTAGCGTAGCTGTACAGTGTAGGGAGGAGTGCTCAGACCTCTACACTGGAGACACCAAACATCCACTTTATAAACGCACAACATAGAAGAGCCACCTCCACGGGACAAGGCTCGGCTGTACTAAAGGACAAAAGTCACTGCTTTAAGGATGCAAATGTTCACATGTTGGACAGAGAGGACAGGTTTGAAAGAGGAGTAAAAGAAGCATCTGTGTCCACTGTGAACGGCTATCTTTGAACAGAGGGCGGGGCTTACCACACCAACTGTCTGCCATCTATAATCCAGTTCTGAGATCCTTCACAGAGACCTTAACGCCCACTCACATGGGTGAGTTGATCTCAGTAGGTCACATGACTCACGATGGTTCAGCTAAGGTTCAAGGTTCAAGGTTCTTTATTTGTCACATGCATAGTTATACAAGTATAACACAGTGAAATGTAGCCTGACACGCTCCTCGACATGTGCAAAAATTGGGGGGGGGGGGGTGTAGAGGAAGAACATTATATATATATATATATATATATATATATATATATATATGTAGTATATACACTGGGTGAATGTGCAGTAGTAGCAGCAAGCAGGTGAATTCTGTACATTAATATGAATAGATATCTGACTATTTTACAGGATAGACAATATAAACATATTTAAAATTAAAGGAATTGAAATGTACATTGTGCCTTGGTTTAGTGTCTGGAAGAGTCCTGTCTCAGTCAATTATAGATGATGTGAGAGGGCGGGTGTGTGTGTTTAGGGCACGGATGGCTTGGGGATAGAAGCTCCTCTTGAGTCTCTCTGTCCTTGCCCGGAAGATGCGGAACCTTCTACCAGATTGCAGAAGTTGGAACAGTTTGTTGCCAGGATGGGACGGGTCCTTCAGTATCTGCGCTGCTCTAGTCCGGCATCTCCTGGTGTAGGTGTCCTGAAGCGGGGGGAGAGCAATCCTGCAGCAGCGTTCTGCTGTACGGATCACTCTCTGGAGAGCTTTTTGGTCCTTCACACAGCTGTTCCCGAACCACGATGTCATGTTCTGTGTGAGGATGCTCTCTAAATGCTCTCGCTAAACCTCTGCTAATAGCAACTACACCTTTTTTCACACTTTGGCTCCTGTGATGAGGGTAATGATCAAATAAGGGACACGCCACTATTTGGTTTTACAGCTGAAGAAGCGTCTTGGATGAAACTTGAAACATCTTCAAGAAACTTAAACGAGTCCAGTCGCTTGTGTTTTTACAAGCTCCTTAAATTAAGTCACCATGGTGACAGACATTCAGTGTTTTCTGAATAATGATTGAAATATTAAAAGGTCACAAACTAAACGTCGTTTACTAATTCAGAGTCTTCTCCTGTCACAGCTCCAAATTAAATTAGCTTTGACCAATCAGGTTACAGCCCAATCATCAGATTTCGATGATTTCATGTAAACATACTGAGAGCTGGTTGGACCAACTCTGGTCAGCTCTTCTGGACCAGAAATCAGATCTCTGATGATCTGTAAAGCATCCTGAACTGGGCGTGATGTAGAAAAATGGAGGATGTCTTGATGGTGTTATGGCACTTTGTGGTGGGTTTTCAGAACTACGTTGTGTCTCTGTGTGTTGCCTGCAGGTCATTGAGACGTTTTATGGCTATGATGAAGAGGCGTCTGTGGATTCTGATGGCTCGTCTTTGTCCTTTCACACTGACAGAACTCCAGATACTGAACCAGACGAGGTACGTACACACACATACACACACCCACTGTTTCCAAAGGTGAGGACATCCAAACGTGTCCTTAAGTCCAGTGGGATGTAAAAGGAAACAGCTGGTAGTTTCTGACTCTTGGAACAGACAGCGCTCAGCCTTTGATGGAGAGCCGACAGAAAGACAAAACCTTCAAAGATCCACCTTTGCTAGATTTTAAATAATAATTCATATAGTAACAACAAAACATCCTTCAGGTACTTTAAGTTGTAACCTGCTTAAGCTGCCAGTGTCTATAACAGGGGTGTCCAACTCCAATCCTCGAGAGCTACAGTTCTGCAGCTTTTAGATGCATCCCTACTCCAACACAGCTGAATCAGATGGTTGGATTACCTCTTCAGCATCCCATCAAGTTTTGCAAAGGCCTAGGAACAAGCCATAAATTTGATTCAGGTGTGTCGGACCAAGGATGCGTCTAAAAACTCTCGAGGACTGGAGTTGGACACCCCTGATCTATAAACAGTTAACTGCATCAGTCCTAATAGAGTCATTAAATTAAAAACAGAGCTGAGTTTATTTCTGAAATAGCTTTTAAATCGGAAGTGGCACGATATTAGCCATGTTTTTTATACGTCCAGCAGCGACTTGCAAGTGTCTGATTGGCTGATATGTGTGTAGTTGTGCATGATTGGTTGTGCTATCTGTATTACGTTTCATGATGACAGCAACAATGAGAGCTTGAGACTGTTTCAGTTACTGCTCTGACTCGCTGGTCTGAAGTTGGGGTTTTGTGTGTTTTAGTTATGCGTGCATGAGGAGGCGGAGCTTCGTTACCGTCAGCTGACTCAGGAGTACCAAGCGCTGCAGCGAGCGTATGCTCTGTTAGCGGAGACGAGTGGCGGAAACTACGATGCAGAGAAGGAGATCAAGGTGACCCCGGTGGGGGCACAGAGGGCTGCATTAGCTGCAATGAAGCAAGGCACTAACAGGTTGACGGTTGTATTCTTTGTGTTTCAGACCAGAGAGCAGCTGCTGAGTGAGATCAGTCGATACCAGAGCAGAGTTTCAGATCTGGAATCAGCGCTGAAGCAGCAAGGACTGGTAACATGCAAAACTGTTGAGTTTCTAAAACGCAGAAAAATTACAGAAGGATAAAACCAAGAGGAGGCAGGTGAATGAGAATATTATCTGCATTCTGATTGGTTCTAGGCTAGAATCCTGCAATAAAGGGGTGTGTCTTCAAGCTAATCAAAGAACCAATCAGAGCCATACAGAGGTAGAGTAAACTACAGTTGTACTCCATAGAGAGCCAGCAGGAGGCACAGCTGTGATACAGTCTCCACTCACAGTGACAGGCAGGTCGTATCTCCTCCTCAAGCTCTGACCTTAACGTCTGGAGAAAGAGGCAAAACCTTCATGTTGGTGCTTGGTGGGTGTAAAACCTCCACATCCAACAATTTGGTGTGTCCAAAGCACTGTTTTTCCTGTAGGTTGAACCTCTACTGCACATGCCCAGAGTTACACAACATTACAGCTCCATCAGCTGCCATTTCTGCTGGTGCAAACGGTTGGAGAGGTAGTTCAGGAGAGCACGCCCTGACTTTTCTTTTTCTTTTTCTCTCATAAATATGGATAAAGGTGAGAGGAAATCTTTGAATGCTTGACCAGATCCATGTTCATCCTGAAGATCTGTTAGACCAGGGGCCAGCAGCCTTTCTGATGAGTGCCATCTAAAATTTCCTCAGAAGTCAATGTGCATTAGCAATAAATTTAATAACGCTCTATATGAACAGTTACACGCTATATAGAACAACTTTATAGAACTAGAAAAATTTGCATTTCCTGCGAAAATGCTGCATGAATGCCGTGTAGGGGAATCTGCTAAAAACAGCTGAAGAAGTAAAACTATGTCCTGAAAGTAGGTGAAGAAACTGAAAAGAAACGGAATGTTGTGCTGCGGAAGTTTCTGCTGAAGAATCTGGAATTTTTCCCGAAAAGGAATGAAAAAACTAATAATTCTGCTGAAAAGGGGTGAAGAAGCTGAAATTTGTGTTGATAAGTTTAACTGTTACCTGAAAAAAATGTTGCCATAAGTGGGATTCGAAGCTGGGCCTCCTGCTCTGAGAACAGCTACTCATCTCACTGAGCTAAAACACAGTTCACCCTGGCAAGCAAAATCAATGACCACACTGATAATTTGGTCCATTCGTTTCAATGGGACAAAAAAATTGCATAAAAATGTAATATCTCAAAAAGTATATGAGCACCAAAAGTCATAGCAGGAAAGAGCAGAAATAGCAGAATTTTTAAAAGTTTGAATGGTGAAAATCAGATAAAAACTGTGGGACTAGTTAAGTGCCAGAAAACGTACAGAAGTAACTAGAATATAGTGGAATAAAGAATAAATGGTAAATGGCCTGTATTTATATAGCGCTTTACTAGTCCCTAAGGACCCCAAAGCGCTTTACACATCCAGTCATTCACCCATTCACACACTGGTGATGGCAGCTACATTGTAGCCACAGCCACCCTGGGGCGCACTGACAGAGGCGAGGCTGCCGGACACTGGCGCCACCAGGCCCTCTGACCACCACCAGTAGGCAACGGGTGAAGTGTCTTGCCCAAGGACACAACGACCGAGACTGTCCAAGCCGGGGCTCGAACCGGCAACCTTCCAATTACAAGGTGAACTCCCAACTCTTGAACCACAATCGCCCATAAAGAGCGAAATAAAGAGAAACAGGAACTCAATAGTGTGGATGCTGTAGGAATCCACACAGTTATATTTGTTAGCACTTACTGAGAGGACGGACGCACGCTCCACTTGACTGTCGTGTCTCTCATCCTCTCTGTTTTTCACATAATGATGTTATCCTATAACCTCGCATGTGATTGGCCACAATATGGAGGGATTGGAGCATAGCTGAGCAACTGTGTGAGAGCTGAGCAGCGAAAGGAGGAGCCGGCTCTTGTTCATGGGAGTCGACTCTTCTGATTCACTGCAAAGCACTCTGTAAGCACGGCTCTTAGAGCTGATGCTTTTGCGCATGACACATTATCGAACGTTACGTTGTGTGTCATGGACACTGTTGACTCCAGAGGCAGAGCCAAACACTTTATACACCCGGGGCTTAGGCCTAAAGGGTAGTATGTGTAACACTGATGAAGCGCTAATGAATTAATACAGGCTAGGTATTGAGTGAAATATTAGGTTATTATTAATCATAAGATTTAGGAATGCTACTGGAGCTGATGGGCAGTAATTAATAAATACACACAACACAAAATGCTTTTGCAGGTACCATGTATTTAATCGAAAGCAAAGAAAAATAACAAGAAAAAAAAAAGTTCCCCATAAATAACACATGTTAACATCAAAAACACTGATCCACACTGAAGTCAATGAGTTTTATCTGAATGTTCATGAGAGATGTCCAAGCGCTATTGTCCATAAACGGGGGAAATGGTGTGTATGATTGTGGAAATCAGTGTATTCGGAAAATGGGGACAGAGCGTCATCTTTGATAGCTTCCTACCAGTCCAGTGGAAGCTTGAATGCAGAATGAGTCCTGCTCCTAGCCGTTCATTGGCTCACCATCCTTTTCCATACCCAAAAAGGTTCACCTGGCCTGCATTAAATAAACAAGGCCAATAAGAAATCACAAGAATAACACAAAAATGTCAGCCAGTTAAGCTAAATACATTCTTGTTCCTGTGTACACAATTTATAAATAAATAAACAAACCATATATTTAACCAATAAGGATTTAACTAAAACATTTCAACTGCTATATACATATTATATAGCTTCACAACATTTGTTATTCAACAACTATCAGTCAATTCAAAAATCAAATTGTTTGGACCGGCAGCAGCCAATTAGTGTCAGCACACCGGTGTTGGCACATAAGGACGCTGTCATAGCCTGTCAACCACGTTGATTAGCTGCGTATATACGAATGTGAATCGCATCATTGGCTGGACTGTGGGATAAGGTGGCATCGTTCCCATACGGGAGCAGCCAGTCACTGACTAACACTGCAAAACAGAATTGTTGAAGTTTTAATTTTAATTTCAATTCAGGTTAGATTATTTTTTTTGTGCGCAACGCAGATTTTCTGTGTGCAGAGACCGTGCCAGCAGTTGCAATTGTGCACATGCGCAGCTTGGAGTGTAGTGTTCTGTAACAAGTAGGGGTGCAACGATACACAAAATTCACGGTTCAGTTCGGTTTGATACAAAAAATGTTCATGCCTTTTTAATTTGTCATTTATTAAAATTATAAATATATATTTTAACTCAAACGTACAGTTTTTGAATTTAATGTTGCTGAAACAACAAAGTAATAAAATAAATCTATCTGCTGGAGAAATCCCTCATCTTTGGAAAAGAGAGTTTATTACAGAGAAATGGCTCTTTCCAAAATAAAAGCTCTACTATAGCTTCTTCTGGGCTATATTCTCAGCAGCATATTAAACATATCAGGTCCCCATAAGGAGAATCCTGTGCTAACGGCTGTCTAAATGACTCGGGTAAAGTTTGTAGCATGCTTGTTGTTTTGTCTGCTTCCACTTGTCTTTGCACGAGGATGATGTCGGAGTAAATGTGCAGTCATATTCGTTGTGTTCCCACTAGTGCTGTCAGCGTAAATCTGAAATGACGTTAACGCCACAACACGGCAAATCTCCGTTAACGAGCTACCGCCGATCGCCCCGTGCGTGGGGCTAGACGGCCAACACGTTAACGAGCTAACTGCGCTAACACACTAGTTCCCACCATGTAATTGAGCATTGCGTGGCACATCTGACACACTGTTTTACTTTAGTCCATGACGCGCTTACCTTCAGGGTCATACGTCACATGAAAACCAAAATAATTCCAAACGCCAGATCTGAATGAGGGTGGGGGAGGGTCAGTTTGCCATGTTGCAACGAGCTTAGCTTCTGTCTTGCGCTGCGCTCAGTGAATCTGCGTTCGACTACTCCGCCTAGGCTGCACTGTCGAGCGCAGATCCACTGAGCGCTCAACACAGACAGCATAGTCAGAAGGAAAGTTGATAAAATAAATTACAAATTTTGTATTGTTCGATACATATGCGTACCAAACCGAAAGCTCTGTATCGAACGGTTCAATGTCGATACGAGTATCGTTGCACCCCTAGTAACAAGGTAAACAAAAATTTAAAAAAAAATAAACATACAAGTATAAAAGCTAAACAAGGTATAAATAGACTAAGAGTCATGATGAGAGGTATGCAATCCTGAATAGATAGTTTTCAATATATATCTGAACATATAACAGCAAAACCAGTGGTTCTCTGTGGAACACAGCCGAACACGTGTGATGAGAACAGAGAACAGGTCTGAAAACAGATCACACGATCACAACATTGACAGTGCGGTCGCTCTGTCTGTGTCTCAGGACCTGAAGTGGGTGGAGGAGAAGCAGGCGTTGTATCGGAGGAATCAGGAACTGGTGGCGAAGGTGAATCGCATTTGTCAATCGTGACGTCTCAGTAAATATACACACAAATTCTTCTGAATCAAAAAGAACAACTTGCATTTGGTATATTTGGTATTTGGCTGAGAATAGACTTAATGTCACACGTAACAACGGATGGTTTGCAGGTCAGGCAGATGGAAGGTGAAGAGCTGCGACTGAAAAACGACATCCAGGATGCCAAAGACCAGAACGAGCTGCTGGAGTTCAGGATCCTGGAGTTAGAGGTGAAAACGTTGCAGATGCCAGTAACAGCATCTCAAACTTCCAGACGTTTACCTGTGATTTCTGTTTGCTGTTCAGGAGAGGGAGCGGCGCTCACCCGCCATCAATTTCCAACAGCTCCATTTCCCTGAAGGCCTCAGTCCTCTACAGGTTTACTGTGAGGCAGAGGGAGTCACTGTGAGTACATCCGTCAGTACACCTGAGTGCACCTGTAAATATCTCTGAGGGGTGCACTGCCAGCATATTCAGCATATCCAGGCTTTCGCTGTGTTAGCTGGCTGAACTAAGCTACACTTTCACTGTTAAACTGGGCCTGAAAGGTGCGTTTGATTTGTCATTTCATTCTCTTTACAAATGGATCAGCGGAGCTCCTTTTGCTCCAGTGAGAGGAGTTATTAGAGGAATGCTGACAGAGCTATAAAAATGTAAAAGAAAATAAAGTGCTGCAAAAACGATGACAGCAGCGCTGCAGAAGATTATTGAATTTGTGATCATCAAGCAGCAGTGAGATAAATCTATTATAGCCATCCGTTTTCTTTATCCAATTCAGTGTTGTGGGGGGACTGCAGCACATCCTCGCTGTCATAGGGCGATGGGCGGGGTACACCTGGACAGGTCACAGGTTTGTCACTGGGTTAATACAGAGACAGACAACCATTCACAGCTTTTTATTTCTAGGGTTCACGCTGCATCTGTGAACCCTTAGGCGCTGAAGTTTGGTCAGTGTTCAGTCACAGACGTAGAAATTAGTCTGTCACAGATTCAAGGGTCAAACCGCCTCCAAACACAAGTCGTCGCATTCACATCAGAGGCCGGTAGAGTCGCAGCAGCAGATCTGGATTAAGAAAAGCTCAGGTTGGAGTTTAGAACAAACATCCCTGTGATGCAAGATAACTAAAAATCATCCTCAACATGTCGATGCTGTTTGTGCTGAATACCCCTGAACACACCTTTAACCTGTTTCTTGGTGCACTGAAGTAGTGTCCCGTCTGAAGCCTCGACATAATAAGTCTTTGACACCATTGGACCTACTGTCTGATTATTAACACCATGCCGTGTACTGGATCAATCCGGCGCCCGTTGCTCGGTGGGGGGCTCAGTCCCCTCTTCGGTTGGTGGCTGCTGGCGGAGCCTGTGGCGATCTCGCCACAATGGTGATGTACGCAGCTGCTCCTCCGGTGCTCTGGGGGGCCTCTGGATGTCTGGGATCATCTCCATGCCTGCTTCATGGCTCGCAACACCTACTATTACAAACAAACAAGCTTTGTCAGTAATAGCCCTTTGGTCCATGGCTTTGGTCCCTTTGGACCCTTAGTGGATACTGGGTGGGAATCGAACTTGCACCTCCCACTCCAAAGTGGGATGTGTAGTCTTACCACTACACTATCCAGCTGCACTTACATGGAGGAACCTTATGAATACAAGTGCGCTTGCACACACAGGTGTTCACACCTGAGTACCTGTTTGTCCACACCTGTGTTCACAGAAACACACTTCTTCCTTGGCTGCTGCCTCCATGCGTTGTCGTTGTGTGCTGCTCCGCTCAGTTTTTATTATTTACTGTTAGTTCTGCTTATCTAGGTTGTTGCTGTGGTCTCCCTCCTGTGTTGTTCTCTTTCTGCCAGCAGGTGATCCAGCTGATCTTTTCTCTCTGTCGCGCTTCCCCTCTGCTTTTCTTTCCCTCTCCTTTTTTGGAAGGTTGCTTGTCTTTGTCTTTCCCTTTTCTATCCACGGGTCCTGTCTGTTCCAATTGTAATAACTTAAAAGAATAAATAATTAATAAAGATCAATCAAGTGGATGAATAATGATCCACTTGGAAAAATAAATCAGGTGGGCATCACCAAATTTCCCCTTGTGGGACAATTAAAGGATTGTTCTATTCTGTTTCTCTTGGCCTTCAAACTATAATTCATGTTGCCAGAGTTCTCTGAGCTCCCTTTCGTGTCCAAAGTCCTGGAGAAAATTGTCTGCGTCCAGCGCCAGGCTCAAAGCGCTACACAGCACTGAAACTATGCCTTTAAAAGTTTTTAATGATCTTTTATTAATGCCATTTAAGTGCTTTTAGACCTGAGCACTGCATTTGATAAAGTGGGTCATGGTGTTGTAGTGTCCAGACTGCTGTGGGTATTAAGGCACCTGCCCTTGATTGGTTTAGATTCTATTTAAGCAGCAGAATGTTTTCTGTCAGGTTCATCCATCCATCCATGTGGAGTCCCTCAAGGATCCACCCTTGGCCCAGCATTTTCTCCTTTCACATGCTCCCATTAGGCTCTGTTTTCAGAAAATATGGATTCTCTTTTCACTGTTTTGCTGATGATTCACAAATCTACTTTCCTCTTAAAAAGAATTCTACAGACTTTGAAAGTGTGCGTGACTGTCTTCATGATATTAAATCATGGCTGGCATTAAATGTTTTGAATGTGAACAATCAAAAAGCTGAGATTGTCCTATGTGGACCTTCTGACCCTCGTTCTTCTCTTAAGGGTGACCTTGACCCTCTGGGAAAAGCAGAACTGCCTTTGCAAAAGTCTGGGAATGTTATTTGATGTTTCTTCATATTGAGAAACTGCTGTTAAAGGCTTCGAGTGAGTAGCTAATGCGAGTAATTGATCCAGACCTGGCAGCAGCTCTCTCATCTTCAGCTCTCGCGTGTTTACGTGTGCTCCTGACAGGCAGGCGTAAACGCGACCGTATTTCCCCGTCTAGGCTTGTTTGCGTTCTGGCTTCCAGCACGTTATAGAATTGATTTTAAGATGTTATTGCTTGTTTTTAAGTCTCTAAGTGGATAAGCTTCGCCGTACCTCTCTGATCTTTATCTCATGCTATAAACTGAAGGCTGCTTCTGACTGAAACACAGGAGGGGCCTTTGCTGTGTGTAAACTTTGGAACAGTTTGCTTCTTCAAATTAGGGTCTCTCCATCTGAAGACACATCCTTACTCTCTAGCTTTTAATTGTGACTGAGTTGTTTTGCTTTTGTGTCTTGCCGTCTACTTGTGTGTGTTTATTTTTTCACTGTGTAATGGTTGTTTTTGTGATTTGCCGATCAGGACATTGTGATGAGTGAGCTGATGAAGAAGCTGGACATTCTGGGAGATAACGCCGTAAGTGTATGTTGAATTTATTTTGTACATGTCTGTGTCACTGAAACATGTGATCCATGTAATCCGCTTGTGGCTTCACGTGTGTTGAATGTGTGCATTTTGTAAACATGCTGTTTAGTAACCATGGTGACACGTTCCCTGTTTCATTAGTGAGTCCTTTCTGATGATCAGTGAATAAATCTGAGTTTGTGTCGGGACAACAATACTTTCCATGTTGAGCGTGTTGTTTATATATTGCTGACATGTTGTTTTTCTGTAGAATCTGTCCAATGAAGAGCAGGTGGTGGTAATACATGCCCGGACGGTACTCACTCTAGCAGAAAAGGTGAGCGTCCCACCTGTCAGTTCTCAGAGAGCTGAGGTTTCTGCTCTCTGACAGGATGCAGATAAAGTTTCTTATTCTTTGCACCTCTCAGAGTTATTGGCACAGGGAAAAAGCAGGTTCGCATAGTGAGATTGAGGACGTGGAATAACTGACGGCTCATCAAAGTTTACATAAGATCAGTCCGATCTCGTAAAGTTGCTGTTGATCTCGGCAGGTATCACGTGAACAGTCAGACAGCTCGTCACTATTGTTTCACAAAGTTGTTTGCTCTGTCTCTGCGAGGTAACAATATGAAATGTGTGCACATGCAAAAATACCATGTGATTCAAGAAACATGAACACCAGCTAAGTTGGCTCTTACCATCATGTATTTGTTAATGGACTAGAATAAATTCAAACAACAGGTACTTTGCATGTCTGCAGGATAGGGCTGCCATGATTAGTCGACTAGTCACGACTGATTTAATAGTCGACGCGTCGTTTGAAGCTTTGTAAGATCCCAAAAGACGCAGGAATGAGTAGCAGGATTTAAGAGTGTAATAACAGACTGGAACAGAAGATGGCAGCACTGCATGTACAAGGATGCCAGCTGCCGTTAAACCCCGAAGAAGAAGAAGCTGTGTCCCAGAATTCATAGCGCAGCCCAGCTCAGTTGTCAACAATGGCGGCAGCTAGTTAGCTTTAACTTTACTCTTATTATTCTTTCTGGGTCACAAAATAAACGTTTAACATATTTTCAGGGAGAATGTAGCTGTGTAAACCTCAAATATCTGCTCAGTTTATCAAGACACCGCATATTTTCAAAAGCGCTCCGACGTTTTCGGAGACGTCTGTTACCCACTAGCTCGATAGCTAGCCGGGGGCTAGGTCACTAGAGCCGTGAGAACACCGGACTCCCGGCAAATCGTTTTCAAACCCACCGCCGTCTTTCACTACTCAGGTTAAATATATATGAGTCACTTAGATAACTTAAAATGTTATTGTTTGGCTTTTTTTAGTGTTTTATTTGTTCCTGAGTAAATCGGTTTGGCTGAAATTAAAGTTATAGTTTTTACACAGCTGAATAAACGTCAAGCAGACAGCTGATCATCAGAAGTGTGAGATGCTCCAGAATTTACTCCGGTGTCCTGTTATATTTTAGATAGCAAGGAGTTTATTAAACTTTACCGAAACAATCTGCAAATTTCATTAAAATTATAATATAATAAATAATTTAATAAACTATCATCTTGTCTTTATTTTTAGTTAGCACCTTACACACTTAAAGCTGTAAGCTAATGATAGTTATATAAGAGCAGATGCTGCTGGTGCAATAAGCTGTACGTTTTACATCCAATGGATGATGATCTGATTAGTCGACTAATCGCAAAAATAATCGGTGAGTAGTCGACTATCAAAATAATCGTTTGTGGCAGCCCTACTGCAGGAAGATACAGAAAAGTGTCAGAAACATTTAAAAACAAATCTTTAGGTGAGATTTAAAGATGCTGAGTGTTGATGAGGTTACCAGATTCTCCAGCATCTGTGGGTCAATAAAAGCTTTGAAAAGTAGTACTCAGTATACTCTAGTATCCCGTGACACAGCCCGGTCCTCGTCGTTTGTTCATATGCGTCACCTGAGGCTCCTAAACTGTTTGTTTGGGATGAACAAGTTCAGGTGAGAAACAGTTCACACAAATCTGTGTGAACTCTGTGAATAAAGCTGAACATACACAGAAATTTAAAGATGAACTTGGATTGATGAGGAGGACAGACAGTGCACAATCAATATCTGCTTTACGACCAGCCTGTCTCTGTCTACCTGTCTGCTCACCTGTCTCTCTTTACCCCCTTTCAGTGGCTGGAGTCCATTGAAGTGACAAAATCGGCCCTGCAGCAGAAAATGTTGGACATCGAGAGTGAGAAGGTGAAAGACAAAGTGTATCTGGTCTCTGTTGGGACTTTTTTCTACTTGCTGAAATCATGTGATCTGATCTGTGGTCTGGTCAATGACACTAGATCCATCTGAATTATGAGGCTAAAATAAGTGCTCTGTGGTGAGTCGGTCCAGTAAGAAGAGCGTGGTGATCGCGAGCTGGACAGGAAGCTTTTAGTTTCAACTCTTTCATATGTCGGAGTCTGTTTGTACAGAAAACATTAAAAGGCCTTAGCGGTTTGTAAAGCAGCAGTATCCATGTTGGGAAGTTGTTGTCTGGGGTAAATAAATGTGGTGCCAGTGAAGATGCTGTTGTTTTCTAGGAGCTGTTCAGTAAGCAGAAAGGTTACTTGGATGAAGAGCTGGACTACAGGAAGCAGTCGATGGATCAGGCCCATAAGGTCAGTGAATAGCTGAACCTGTACTGTGGAGAGGTCAACCAAATAACTGAGAGCAAGTCTTTGAGCCTGTTCTGATATCATTGGCCCGTTGATCAGTGGGCTGTGATCAATGGTTGTCAATCTATGGCCATGACAATCTGCATATTAATGATCAAGGAAATGACTTCACGGCCCGTTGTTTGTTCAGTGGTGCTCGTTTCAGTCATTGTGCAAATGTCCTGTTTATAAAGTTGGGGAAACCTGCACCTGGATGAGTGACAAAACGTTTCTCCCACTGAAAACATCCAAATGAACAGGATCAACATTTTGGGATTTCCTTAGCTGGATGATTGAGCAACAACAATGACAGCGCAAAAATGTTTCTTTGATCCAGAGGATCCTGGAGCTGGAGGCCATGTTGTTTGAGGCTCTGCAGCAGGAAGAGGAATCCAGGATAGAGGGATTAAAGATGGAGGGTCGACTGTCTGAGAGTCTGACAGAGGGAGAGCGAGAGGAGCTGAGGAGAGCCATGGACCAGTGGAAACGAACTGTGATGTGTGAGCTCAGAGAGAGAGATGCCCAAATCCTTCGAGAGCGGATGGAACTACTGCAGCTCACCCAACAGGTAAACCACTGAAATGAGCACAGGTACACTATTATGATTTCTCCTTTGTAGTCTGTAATCAATGATGTTGTGTTTGTCAGAGGAACAAGGAGCTGGAAGAATTTATAGAAGCACAGAAACGACAGATTAAAGAGCTGGAAGAGAAGGTAAAGACAAATCGAACAGAAACATGTATGTAAAAAACTGCTTCCTCTGACATCGACAGATTCTGCACTGCTTTCTTCTTCTTTCAGTTCCTTTTCCTGTTTCTCTTCTTCTCTTTGGCCTTCATCCTATGGTCCTAACAGCAGCAGGTTGGTCACACTTTCCCAGGTGTGCAGAGTTTACCTGTTGGATCTCTGTGTAGTAAAATGTTTGCTCTGCTTTAGTGTGTGCAGACCACCACAGTCCAGCAGCTGAGTGGCCAGGTCAGCTCAGTCTGGATCAGACCAGGAGGACCTGAAAGGATTCCTGGAACCAGCAGCTCACCAACCGAGGGTCTATGGGTTCTCTGTTGCCAGCCAATCAGAGCAGAGCCCAGCTGTCAGCTGGCTCTCAAACTATCCTGTTACACGTTCCTAGAATGCCACTGTGCTGTCTCACAATGACTGATGGCTTCGTTTCAGCTTGCTGATGTTCAGCTAAGTAAAAGAGTCTGGCCCAAACTGGTGTTGGACTCTTACTAGCTAAACTAGGTGACACCCTATATGATTAGCTTAGGTCGCTGATTTTGAAGTTGTCAGATGGGGTTGGTTCAGTAACCTGTGACAGAGCTGAACCTGAGCTCAGCAGAGTTAGGCTGAAGAGCAAAATCTCTATAAGAACTAGACATAAAAACATCAGAAACCAACCTGACAGAAGTTTAGTTCAATAATTCTTTGTTCTGATTGGCTGTTCCACCTGAAGAGCAGACAGTGAATTTAGCTCCTCCCACTTTATTCACAGAGCTAAGGTCACACCTGGTTCGTCTGCAACAGAAGAAGGACCTCCACAATGTCAGGAGGTCTGTTAGGAGATAAGAGTGAAGTGAAGTGGTCCAGATAAACCAGGTTCAGCAGGTTCAGATAGACCCGGTTAACCAGGTCCACATAAACCAGGTTCACTGGCGTCCGGTTAAATACTGCATCGATTTCAAGATACTTTTGTACACATTCAAGGCTACCCATCATCTCTCACCTTCATACCTCCCTGACCTGGTTCAAATCACCATTCCTTCTCCGTATCTCAGATCCTCCTCCTCTCTTTCTCTTCCATCCCTTCCCCCCGACTAGCCACCGTGGGGCGCAGGGCTTTCTGTTGCTCTGCCCCCGACTTTGGAACATCACTTCCATCCCTCTATATAAGTCCAGACTCAAAACTCACCTATTCACATTAGCCTATTCCACATAAATCTTTCCATCCTGCTACTTTAATTTATTTGATCTATTTGCTCAACGTTTTATCATTATTATTTTGTAAATTGTTATGTTTGTTGTTGTTATTGCTTGTGTACAGTGTCCTTGAGTGTTTTGAAAGGCGCTTTCTTAAATAAAATGTATTCATTCATTCATTCATTATTCATGAGGTCCAGATAAACCAGGTTAACCAGGTCCACACAAATCAGGTTCATGAGGCCCAGATAAATCAGGATCAGGAGGTCAAGATAGACCAGGTTTACTGGGTCCAGGCAAACCAGGTTCATGAGGTCCAGACAAACCAGGTTCACCAGGTCCAGGCAAACCAGGTTCATGAGGTCCAGATAAACCAGGTTCACCAGGTCCAGGCAATCAGAATCAGAAAGGGTTTTATTGCCAAATGTTGAGCAGGTTTACAACATTAGGAAATTGTTGCGGTGCTTCAGTGCAAACATGCTGTTGTAAATACTGTTATAAATACTCAAAGGAGCTTGCAAAGAAAAGCGTCTGGACTTCTTTAAGTTGCTTTAAGTTGCTTGAAGACGTTTCACCTCTCATCCGAGAAGCTTCTCGGATGAGAGGTGAAACGTCTTCAAGCAACTTAAAGAAGTCCAGACGCTTTTCTTTGCAAGCTCCTTTGACTACGATGACCTGGATGACTGAGAACCTTCACAGACATATTGTTATAAATACTGTTATAAATTAAGCTTAAATAGACATGAAAATAAAAATAAGAATAAGAATTAAAAGTGCTAAGTAGATAGATATATACATGAGTGCAGGTGGTGATCAGTGCAAACATGGAATGATGCAGTGAACACAGCGTAGGGTCATGTGTTAGTGGTGGGAACAGTCATACGGTTATTGTTCATGTGTCCAACAGCAGAGGGGAAGAAACTGTTCTTATGGCGAGAGGTTCTGGTGCGAATGGACCGGAGCCTCCTGCCTGAGGGGAGCAGGTCAAACAGACTGTGTCCAGGGTGAGAAGGGTCAGCTGAGATCCGAGCTGCACGCCGCAATGTCCTGGAGGTGTACAGGTCCTGCAGAGATGGGAGTCTTCAGCCAATCACCTTCTCAGCAGAGCGCACAACACGCTGCAGTCTCTGTTTGTCCCTGATAGTGCCTCCAGCGTACCACACGGTGATGGAGGAGGTGAGGATGGACTCGATGATTGCAGTGTAGAACTGCAGCATCGTCCGTGTTGGCAGGTTCAAACCAGGTTCATGAGGTCCAGATAGACCAGGTTCACCGGGTCCAGACAAACTAGGTTCATGAGGTCCAGATAAACCAGGTTCAGGAGGTCCAGATAAACCAGGTTAACCAGGTCCCCACAAACCAGGTTCATGAGGTCCAGGCAAACCGGGTTCAGGAGTTCCAGATAGACCAGGTTCAGGAGGTCCAGATAAACCAGGTTCACCGGGTCCAGACAAACTAGGTTCATGAGGTCCAGATAGACCAGGTTCACCGGGTCCAGACAAACTAGGTTCAGGAGGTCTAGATTAACCAGTCTCACCGGGTCCAAACAAGCCAGGTTCATAAGGTGCAGGCAAACCAGGTTCATGAGGTCCAGAGAAACCAGGTTCAGACTGTGTTTAATTTGATGGAGAGAAGCACAGCAGTGGTCTCTGACCTTGAGGTGCTAGATATCTTGGATTTAGGTCCTGGAAATGACTCCCAATATGTTTCTGTTCCTAAATCCATATCTAAATAATGTCACAGAACTAAAACTAAACTATATCACAATATATAATATATGATTAATTAGTATTACATGAAATGATGCACCTTTTCACTTTACACTGAAGTTACCGGATATTGTTAAATAAAAAGTTTAATTATAAAAAAGCTAAAGACTTTGTATTTTGGTTAATACCTACATTACATTAATATTTTTAAAGCTTTTGTTTCTTTTGGGTTTCTGCCAGCAACCGTATTTGACTTCAAATTCTGCACTTTGTCATTTTGACCATTTACCATTTCTCTGAGTTATCCTCAGTGTTCAAATGAAGCAGTATCAGAATCTGTTGTTTTAAAAGTTGCATCCTGCTGTTGTACTTTTATTATTCCAGATGATATTTTTCTATCCCTGCTGTGAGTCTAAACACTGAACATCTGAAGAGTTGGCGATTAAAAATGGAAACCGAACAAGGAGCAGTCTGTGTTTTGTTGCTTATGTTGGATTATTGAGTCCAAGTGCATTTTCACCAGAATAATCCAATCCAAATCAGTTCAGCATCATTCAAAGACCAGTAATTCACAACAACAGTCAACTAAATATACTTTAATAAGGTAAAGACGACACAAAATTAGTCAGAGCACCTATATAAGCATCAATGGTGACAGTGGGAAGTAAAAACTAGAGTAGAATAGAATAGAATGCCTTTTCTTTACTGTGTTTGGATCATCCAATAACCTGATGTTTGTTGTTACAACCTTTGTTTACTTTCTGACTGCGGTCGCCCTGCATTCAGTTTAAGAACTCTGAGCAGATACTCTGACTTCATTTTCAAAGAGGAAAGCTTCATGGGCATGAACTACAGACTTTGTTACAGTTCACTGGCTGTGTGTGTGTGTGTGTGTGTGTGTGTGTGTGTGTGTGTGTGTGTGTGTGTGTGTGTGTGTGTGTGTGTGTGTGTGCGCGTGATTAGATGGACTAAATCTGACAGGCAAAGAAATCAAGTTCAAACTGCAGCAACTTCAGAGCATCAGCAGTAATGAGCACTGACGTGTGTGTGTGTGTGTGTGTGTGTGTGTGTGTGTGTGTGTGTGTGTGTGTGTGTGTGTGTGTGTGTTGGTCACGACCTTCGTCTGATTCTAAGCTGATAAAGTCAGAGATATCAGTGAGTGAGGAGGTGTGAGGGTATGCTGAGCAATAAAGATGAACTCCTGAGAGAGAAAAGGAGACAAAGGACAGACCTGTGAATCTGATTGGTTGAAGGTTTGTGTTCTCCTCCTCCTCCCTCTTAATCTTACTTTGGGCCCATGACCTCCTTTCTTCCCTTCTTCCTCCTCCACATCCTGTCGGTTCGTTTATCGTCTGAGATCTTCATCCTCCCCGCCTCCTCCTCCTTTTCTTCTCTTGCTTGTTTCTGATCAGGTCACATCTCTCCAGGATGTCTGAGAGGAGGTGCTCCCCGGAGGACGACTGCTCTTCTCTCCTTTCGCGGCTCGGCTCAGACTCTCCTCGACCTCGGATGAAGTATGGCGGGATGTTCTGCAATGTCGAGGGAGCGTTCGAGAACAAGACACTGAACTTTGAGTCGTTGGGTCTGCGGCCGCAGCGATGCCAAGCCACTTGCACCCACAGCCGAGATGGAGGCCACGCCGCCAGAAGAGGACACACATCTGGACACACTCGGGAAAATTGTGGCAAGAGAGAGGTTTGTATTATTTCTAGTGAATTGAAAATGTGAGTTCTGTTTATCCTTGTAATGCTCATATCCTGCTGATCTCACCTTTCAACCTTCACACAACTCAGAGTTACTGACCATCAGATGGTGAGTGTTTATTTTGCTTCAGTCATTTGTTACAGATAAGTATAGTCATGTGACACATCATTGATAAGACGGCTTGGAACAACTTTGTATCGTATTACAAAGTTCATGGGCATACGGTTAGTGTGACCCCAGGCTGTGGAGACTTCACTTCATTTCCAGTTTTTCTTCCTTCCACTTCGGTTTCTAATGAAATGTCACAGACACAGTTCACGATTCAGTTTCACTTAAAATAATTATTCAGCAATTCATATCCTCCCCACGGTCACAGCAGACAGGTCTGTTACATCACGTTCTCATCCCTCGTGCAGTAAATCACAACGATTAATTGCTCTCAGAAGTTAGAGGCTGATTGTAGATTTGTTTCTTCTATCCGCTCATCTCATAAATAATTCAAGACTTCATTCACTGTACTGTGATTACTGAGCGTACTACAGTAACACCTCCCTGGGTAATGCTATATTTTAGTACGATACCGAACTAAATATCAGGGATGGGAATCCTCGTGCCGCTCCCTACAGTACTGACTAAAAACTAAAAGAACTGAGAACCTGAAACAAGGCTCAGCAGCAGGTACACTCAGGTGTGGTATATTTAGGTATTTGAGAGGAGTTACTTGTTACATGTAAGGAAATATCAGTCTGATATCAGCAGCATATCAATCAGACACACATCTCCAAAAGTTGACTTGGATGAGTGACGAAACGTTTCTGTGTGTGTGTGTGTGTGTGTGTGTGTGTGTGTGTGTGTGTGTGTGTGTGTGTGTGTGTGGACTAAGAGTCAAACTACAGATGAAGGTGAGGATAAACAGATCCTTCAGGCCTCAGCAGATAAAGATTCCTTTACTGTCGTTGTACTTACAGAGAAATTGGAGCAGACTAGCACACGTGCATTATTACATGCTTTCACTCGTGATTCATTCTACAGAATAAAATAACAATAAAATAAAAATAGACAGACTAATAAACAAAAGTATGCGTACAGTTCTACTAAAAGGATTAAATGACAGTGCAGCCATGCAGCATGAGTGTTATTGTTCTGTACTGTGTGTAATTATATCCAAATAAAAAATATCCAACTCACATCACTCAATAAATCTGTGACCACTAGTTGACACTAAGAGCCAATCAGAAGCCACGAGAGGTCTAATCTCCTTTCAGAATAAAAGGCTGTTAATTTGCTCTAAAACCTGAGGAGTTTAAATATCTGAAAGTTGATGTTGATGAAAAAGTTCAAGCTGAGCTGAAGCTGCTCTTTGTTTAGTCACCGGATCTCCTAATTTAATAAAAACACAGCAGCATCTGCTCAGTTCATAGACTCGAGGTGGACTCGGAGAGAAATCAGTTTAAAGCACTTAAAACATTATAAACACTTTAAAGCATTTGATCATTTTGACTCGTTGCTGTTAGTCTGAACTGGAACCAGACATCATTCTGAGGAGATGACCGTTGTTTCAACGCAAACTGACTGCCGAGGCTGCAAGAACCTGGCATCTGACCAACGATTTCACTTGTTCAGATCCACTCCTGCGACGGATGCAGCTTCCCTGATGTCCGCGCTGTTTATGAGCGCCTCAGTGTGTTACAGCAGCCG